TGGTAGTTGAAGAAGGTGGATTGAAAGCGTTTTAATGATTGGCGTCAAAGCCCAATGAGGAGTGCGGGATGAGGTCCACAAGGCTGCAGATGAGGGGTGAAGCCGACGTTGTCTGCAACTGAGCCCATAATATAGCCCATCGACGCTGTTGTCGAGCTAAACTCGTGGTATTAAGTAGGGCAGGCTGACTGGACCGGGTGATGCAGCGTGGTAACAACTCCAGGTTGGTCCCCCGGGAGCATCTTCCTTATTGGATCAAACCCCTGTCTTTGGCTTGAATTCACCCATGAAGGTAGACTACGCGTCAATGCCAATGAATAGTTGCAACCCCGATCTACGCGGAACGGCGCGATCATGCCGTGTTTCCAGGTGATCCCATTCTGTCGATCTTGGCCTCTTTCTGCGCGGGCACGAATCGTTATGATGCGAGTCCCCTCATCGGGGGCTCGGAAGAACGACCGAATTTCTTGACTTCAATAATTAAGGGTAGGCGAAGAGATCTTCACGGAATTATCCTAGTCAAGACGACTCGTGAGCGATAAACGTTGAGTCAGCGGCGAGTCATTTCGTCGCCAGCTCATAACACCTTTGGATATACTTCTGATCTGATGCCACGAGATGATTTAGTCTGATCAACAAACTTTTATTGGTTTTCTTCATCTTTGGTCACATGGCAACTTTACAGTTGTACTTCTTTAAGCACCCGAGTCCTGAGGCTCAAGGGGGATAAACCGGGAATTCCGCAATACACAGCAGACGCCTTTGACACCAGCAGATCCGGATTGTTGCACGACATATGTTGGACAAACTCCTGCACTAAGTCATCGTCACAAGACAGAAATTATCGAATCAACATCAGAAGGTGGCTATTGGTTCCAAAGCCAATTCACGGGTTGGTCAAGTGCGCACTAATAACATCTTCATAAATGATGTACGGTCTAGCTGAAGGTTTATTGGAAGGTACAGACCGATTTCAGCCTTCAGAAGAGAGTTTAACTGTGATTCCATCCCCAATTTGTCACTTGTCGATCCGACCCTCACATCAACGATTCAACACCAACAGATTTGGTCCTTTGTCGAGTACAGCAAGGATTACTAGTTGATCTTCTACTTTTCCTGGGGATTACGAAGTTCTAGATTTTGCCCAACGCCACACTAAGTATGTTTCAGGTTCACCACGCCTCTATCACTGTGTAGCAATGTTTTGTCCCGCGGAGGGATAATTATATACATTCACAACCTGTCTTACTTGCACACGCCCCATCGTACCGCTGCCCAGGTAATTTACCCCTCCGTGATTTTATTTCGAACACCAGTCGACGTGGACTCGTTGTCAGCACCAACGTGGACCGGACACTGCCATTCTATATTCGTCAGTCACGACGTCAATTTTAGATTCAGGGGGAACATGAGACGTAAACATACTTCGGAACTGACGTGCAGGGATTTTCTCTGCCCACATGATCTCCAATTCTTCCAGGGAACGACCAGCCATGTCCGGCAGACAAAAGTATGCCCATATGAGACCGAGAAGTCCGAAACCACCGATGAGAATCATACCTTATTTGACCTGGAAGTGGATAATAGCCAGGCTCAAAGCTAGTGCCCAGGCGGCGAAGCTGACACAAGTGTGTATTTTCGACGTTGGCCTGGTATTTTCATTCGGCAACGAGTCCTGTATATAACAAGACTCGAGTCTACGTCCACCCCCGGGATCCATCTACATTTCCCACTCCCTTTCGATAGAGTGATATCGACACATCTCCTACCTTTTCCTTTTGCTACTCCTCGTCGCTAGTGATATTGGATTTAGCGATATTTCCTTCCCCCCCTCTGCACCCTAGATCTACACTCCAAACTTGTCGAGAGCATATGCACGACTGAGTGCTATACTGCAGCGACATTCTCGCCAACGACAGAGGGGAGAGAGTTGTCCTCATATCCACAAGCCACAAGTAGTTGCTGTCAGAGCAACCAAGCAGACATGAATAACTGTCATGGACATTCTTTTGACAACATCGCACATTTGGGGGCGATATATCAATCATAAAAGAGAGCCGTGGTGACAGTCCATTCAAAGTCTTGATCGGCTCTTCTATGGGCATCTCATAGGGAGCGTGTTTCTATAACCCCACAAGAGCGATTGTCGGGTAGGAACGGTTCGCGTGGGACAGACTCAAGGGCTGTACCTGCCTCGACGGATCTCCGGGAGATAGAAACTGTGCGACTTGTTCATCAAGGGGAAGTGCATGATCTGGCAGGACCCACTGAGAGCTGGAGATGCCCCTGAGATTCCTTCTCGAGGTCGAAGATTTTCAATGCTTATTCGTTAGTTCAGTCGGATTTGAAAAAAGAAAACATCGAATCAATCTCAAACTTCGGCTGATTTCCGACAGTGGCTGGGGAGGATATTGAAGTGTTAGTAAAATTCATTTAAACGCGACGAGCAAGTCGAGCAACGAGAAAAGTCCAGAGACATGATCGACGCCTATTAGCGCTGCGTGCAAGGCGCTGTACTCACGCAAGGGAGTTCTATTTGTGTCACAGGATTGAGACTTGAGATCGTGTCCTTGCTGCAATAAGGGACTCGTGCAGTTGATCTCGCACGAGAAATGGGTCTCGAGGGTGAAACAGTTCCCACTACGTTCAATGACGATCTCCCGTGCAGAGGGGGTTGGGGGACATAAATGAAATCAACGATCGACACACCGATAGGCCAAATGGCGATGCCTCTGATTGGGAAGAGAGCCGGCGTCACTGCCTCCACCGGGCCACGCCAGCGCAGTTGATGGCTTGGCGCTTATAATAATAGAGGCCTTGTCTCGGACTCTCTCCACTTTATCATTTATGCCTGTTATGTTTCCTCTTTCCTTAAGCTGATTCCTATGTGAAGCCATGTACATTCCTCAAAAACGTGCGGATGATTCGCACAAGAACAAGATCTTCATCATTGTATGCTCCGGCCACCTCCGGTCTTCCCGGCTTCAGGCTCCAGGCTCCAGGCTCCAGGGTTTCCTATGCTGACTCGACCTTTCTAGTGTGCATCGTCCATCATTTTCGTGATTGCCCTATGCGTGGGCATCTTCTTCCTCTCCAGATATCTCCGCCAGCGTCACTCCGAGCCCAGATATATCCCCGGGAATTACCTCAAGCTGAAATGGAGGCAATGGCGACCAGGGACTGCCTCGTACGGGCAAGTTCCAAACCAAACGAATGCAAATACCAGCCAAGACACCTCATATCGCGGAGCTGGATCAGCACCAGAAATGCAAACTGCTGATGGCGTCCGCCGGGAAACATCCATCCGCTCAATCATGACACTACCGCCCTACTCACCCAATCCAAAGCCGACCGAGCAAATCATCGCACGGGAAGGCGAGCGCGGTGGAATGGACATGGTCGTGGAATACCCCGAAACCGCCGAAGAACAAGAAACCCGACGTGAAGAGCAAATGGACTCACTCTACCAGCTCCGCCTCCAGCGTCGCCAGGAACTGGCCGATCGCGAGGCCCGGCGTCGGGAACGGCGGGAAGCCCGGTCGCGCGGCGACTCCACCCGACTCGAACAACTTGCCGCCGAATCCCGCGTCAGATCGCAGGCCCGCCGCCCAGGGAGCAATGCAAGCAGCGGTGTTAATGTAGCCGCAGCCCTGGCCGAGCACCAATCGCGAGAACGGGACCGCCGCATTTCAAGCGTCAGCTATGCTGAAATTGGACATGTCCGCCACGACGGCTCGCGGCTTCGAGCAGACTCCCATGATTCAGACCGCTACCCGCTGCTACAACAGGATTCTGCATCGATGGAGGATCCTTCCAGCCGGGACTCCCGGGTCCAATCCTTCGCCTCGTCAATTCACAGTCAATCAACTGGTGCCACTGAGCTGGAACCTCTCACTCTAGTGCAGACCACAACGCGTGGATCGAGTAGACCGCAATCGCAAACTGATGAGGGGGATCTGGGCACTCTTAACATGCCCCCGCCTCCGGAGTATGACCATTTGGACTGGGGTGATGCCCCTGCATACCAGAGCCCGGTCGCCGACCGACATGAGCAGCCTCACCGATTACCTAGTATCTCGCGCTTGCCTTCTATCCATGTGAACCTGCCCAGTCCAATGACTGTCTCGCCGGTTACGCCAACGCAGGGCACCTTCCAATCTATCAGTGAATCTTCTTCTACGCCGACTATCAGACAGGTGTCGGCCGAGTCGAGGACATCCGACGCCGGTCAGGCTTCCTGATCTAATTACATTTCCCCTGAATTTCTCTGAAACAGAGGATATCGTCTCTGTTTCACTCTTCTGCACAAGCATGATTTACGACCTGTATTAGCATCATTATTCGGACTTTCCTCCCTTGTCTTTTGCGTTGATATTCTGTTCCAGCGAGCGCCCTTTCCATCGTTATTATTTACTCGGCTAGCAAGGCGTTCTGTGTTTTGGCGGCTGGCAAGATTCCTGTTTTCATCGGAAGCTGTTTGTTTTTGAGGGTAGGAGGGTGGGTATATCTGCCTGTGGGAAATGTAGACAGCACAAGAATCTACTTGAGTTCTGTAATTAATGAATGCTTATCGATCTTCGCAGTCTATTGCTTGTAATGCTTTGAATTGCTTTAATAGAGTCTCCAGACAAATATCCAGATCGAGCCCTGAAGATTGTGCTAGTGCTGCAAAGCTCCACTCGTACCCTTCCAAGCTTCACCCTTTCAGTCTAAGCTTCGCACTAAAGTCCTGACAGGGCTCCAGTTTGGTTTTCTACTCTGCTGTCATTGGTTTTCCGGAAAATGCCATTTTCAATGTAGAAGGAGGAAAAAATAAGAATAATTACTGGGAAAACTCGATGTCAATGAATAACCGCATTGGGTGCCCATTCCTATCTTTCAACAAGTAATTTTGGCTGCGACGTAGTAGGTCTAACCTAAATCAGAAATATACATGCATACCAACAGAACAACCTCAAGCCAGTGGAGAGATATATCTACCTCCAAACTACTAAAACAACTCACTCCCGAACCAAAACAACAATGGCAGTATAAGTCGAAGCAGCATAAGAATGAACACCCTCAACGCGCAGCCCTGCACACTTCGCAGACTTCTCATACTGACGCTGTGTCCGCTCCCTCCCAGCCAAAATCATCATAGAAAGGTCCGCCATAGTAGCCTGCCAGTTAGCGCCAGTTTCAGGCATAACGACATCATCAATCAGAATGCGCGAGTCGGCTCCCATAGCTGCAGCTGTGTTTCGCAGGATCTGTGCTGCCTTATCATCCGGCCAGTCGAGTATGATTCGGCGGAGGTAGTAAAATTTGGCGCCTGGTTTTGGAGAGTTCAGATTTAGTCTACGTAGCAGGTGTAGAGATGAGTGGATGGTACGAACCTTCGATGGGCTGTTTTTGGAAGAAGTCGTAAGCTTCGACTTTGACGCCTTCTATCGGAGGGAGCTTGTCGACTGTCATGGGGAGGTCTTGCATGATGAGACGGCCGAGGAGGTTGGGGTATTTCCTTGCTAGTTCGATGCATTGGTGGCCGTGGCTGCCGCCGACGTCAACGAGGAAGGGCTTTTCTTCGGGGGTTGGTGGCGTTGAGGGGATCTTTTGGGCTTCACTGTTTAGAAGGGTGAAACCTTCTGTCCACTCGGTTCCTTGTAATGCGCTCATTGGTTTTGTGCAGTGCTTCGATGTACTTTGGATGTTGGAGCAGCCAGTCGAACGACGTCAGCTTGGTGTCGAAGGCTTTTTGGAATGGCGTGTGAAGGTTGTCGATTACATCTTTTGTAGTTGTTTTCCGCGAAGAGGCCGGCATTGCTTGGATCAGAGGCAGGAAGAGGTTGAAGCTTGGTCATGTTAGGGGAGTCTGCTATATAAATGAGATGAGAACAGAAGAGCTGCACTTACGCCTGGTGGACGCGAGCTTCACCGGAAGGACTCCCAGCATTTTGGTCACTTCACTTGCGGTATACTCATTTGGTCCTGTTTCTTTGATGATGTTGGTTGCAGCTAGGTGGCGTAGAACTCTCTCTGAGAAAGCGGATTGATGTTAGATTCATGTACATAAACATGCGCTATGAACAATCATATATCTTACCCAACAGCTCAGGAGTTGCGCTTGTCTTTTTCGCGACTTGTACCACGGACATAGGAGCTTCAATTTTGGAAAGAAGGCCGAAGATTCCCAGATCTTGGCCAACGCGCAGCATCGCATTGGTTATACCACCCTATGACTGTTAGTACCGAAATATATAATAGCGAGACATAACATACTTTTGGCCCTCAGAAAGGCACATATTCAATCGATCCTCGCTATATGATGACCGATAAGCCTATCAACGCAAACGACGAAGATTTAGTTGACGGAATGGCTCGCGTCGGTAAACCGATTGATGTGCCAACATCAATGTCGTACTGTCTTCAACAAATCCGACTTGGCGAGTTTTGCCGCGAGATTACAGATAGCGCACCCTTTGGAATGTTAGACCCGGGCACTCCGGACTATGAACAAACACCACAGATTGATATCAAGATCTGAGAGTTCGCAGAAAAACTGCCGGGGTTCTTTTCGTTGTCTTTTGCCCGGAAGAATCTACGAAAGGCCGATCCCCGACGATCAAGGGGAGTAAACATCCGACAATACATATTCAATTTCATGATCCATACCCAGAGATGTAGGCATCATTTGCCCTATTTGTCGCGCGCAGCAAAACACCCGGCCTATGAGTCCTCCCGGAAAGCTTGTCTAGAGGCGGCCCGAATGGTCATTCGAACTGAACACCAACTCTCGCGAGAGATGATATCGTTCGTACTCATGCGTTTGAAGTTTTCAGGCATGATACATTGCGTCTGCGTGGCTATTATCGTGCTCCTCATCGATTTCTGCTTGAGCAGTTCCCAACAGGAGCATGACCAAGAGCGAAGAGGGGAGATACTTGACGCCTTCAGGATTTTAGAAGAGGCCAAGGACATTTACCATTTGCAAAGAAGCTACTTGAATCTTTCAAAACGGTTCTCCGTCGGCGAAACATATCAGCTCCAGCTGAAGGAACTATAGCGCGACCCACCAGCCATGATCAATCATCCCCGGGCCTCACCAGTAACTTTACAGTGTCCACAGGCCTGTTTGAATCAGTCGGATCTATTGATAGCACCCTAATGGACCCGACAATGCCTTCATTGGATGAGCTCTGGCAGGCATTCGACGAGAGTGTGGACTCTGCCGCAGTGGACTGGAATACCCTCTTCACCGAACTGGATGCCCCATTCCTGTCTTTGTAATCAAACCACCCTCGATACCATGACGCACACGAAATTCGCTTTATGTAAAGATATGTCATACCTATGGTCATGGTCACTGCATTGAACCCCACTTGGGCCAACCAGTCAAGACAGTGAGATCAACACGGCACGCAAAGATAAACTTGGCGGCGGAAGAAGCTAACGCTCAAGGGCCGATCTCTCAACGGCCAAGGGCTCCATTTTTTTAATAATGACGGGGAAAATAAGGGATGTGGCTTGCTCAAGCTCGGGATCTAGCATCGGGTCCAAATATTCATGTCATCATTTAATTTACTAGAACCGGTTCGATTGCTACGGTGCAGCTTGACAAGGCTCGGTATTTGGTGATTGTTGCCTAGTTCCTGGATGCATGGCCACTTTTACACCTGCGTGAGGACCTATCCAGACCATCCTGTAGACTCCTTTCCCGTACACCGGAAACGTTGTCTACTCGACCAACTGATGGTTCTAGAAGCACCACAGCCTGATGGGCTGTGCCTACTGTGATCGTCAGTCGAATCGGGTGTTAGACACGCGTCGTGGGTCGTGGACTGTTACGGTTACGCATCCACCACACAGAACTACAGGTAACATGTGCGTTTTTATAGTTTGCAGGGTCAACTGCAATGACGTGGCCTGCTGTTTGAGTTATTTGCCGTCAATTATCTCTAGAAGCTTTCGATAAAGCAACAGCAAAGACTCGAGACTATTGCGAGTGAATGCATGAGCCATGGTTGTAATAAGGAACAAAAATAGCCAGATGATGTCGTTGGTCGAGATATACTGCCGGGCCCACCGCGTACCCTGATGACTAAGGTATCACCCGTCCCACCCGATCCACTCTTCTTTTTTTTTTTGAGGTCATTGTTATGCTCTCTTAGGCCTCCACTGCCCTCCACTCTGTGCGTGTTACACCTATGAGAGTTATCATAATTTCACTCAGAAAAAGATCGTACTCGGGATCGGCAGTTAACTAACAATGACGACAAGGTCTGGCCCTGTTGACCCTCGTTCTTCCTGTTTTCTTTCTTAGTGAATGGAACTAATGAGTTGGTGACAGGTCGAGTATACTTACCCCAGGTCTCAGCTCACAGTGTTGTGCTTAGTTTTTATCAACGACCTCCACAAGTGCCTTGATTCTTATACTCCCAACCACCTGGTACAACCATTGGCATTCAATGAGAGTTGCGAGATCCGGTGGTTTCCCACGATGCTTTGTTCCGTTCCATCCGACTGTTAGGCCTCTCGGACGATGGAGCCAGGCAGTGATCCATGGAAATTGCGTGTTGCCACCTTCAATCGGGTTGCCTGGTTATGCACATATATCATTGGGGTGCCTTGACATAGGGCCCACTCCCTTTTGAATCCGAACAGCCAGTGACCGTTGTCCGCCCCTTTGAATCCTTGTGGAGCAATGACTTCTTTCTCCACATCAGGAAATCGGACCTCTATTCAAGATGACGTCGATCTTGTAACTGCGCATCTCGCTCCGGCTGGTTCGGACCTGCGTTGTTTACTCTCCGAGGCCAAAGAAACTGGTCCACTGGGGTCTTGACCCATGGTCAATGGTAGGAATGCCTGACAGCACAGCGTTCTATTTTTTGATTTATCTTCTCTCGGGGGGTTATGCCGAGTCAGGCGGATCTGTATATTCCTTTGATTCGTAATATTGGAGCTTTAATCCACCGCATGTTATAAAGATTGTTTGCCTCCCACAACTCTTCCCTCTTGCCTCCTAGATCTGATCTCTCTCTCTTCTGGAAAAGCTAACCAGGCAGATATCAATTCAAGAAGATCTTCCCATCCCTCATCTTCTGAAGGGCGTTGTGTTCATTCGCTATTTGACCACACCCTCCACATTCGCTGAAGAGCAATAACAATGAAGAACTTCATCACCCTCGCAGCCTTCGCAGCCGGCTCCAACGCCCTCGTTGGCCGCAGTGATACCTGCTGCTTCCACCTCAGCTCCTCTGGCGGTGCCTCCGGCGAGCTCGGCCAGCTGAGTGACGGCCAGAACCGCATCGGTGACAGCACCCTGTCGGCAGCTCAGTACTGCATCGACTCCAAGGGTGCCATCACCGACAACAAGGGCCGTGGCTGCATCCTGACCCGTAAGTGAACAACAATATACTATCGGGAAGCATATCCGGACATTCGATCTGACTATATCACAGCCCCAACCACCCAGCTCCAGTGTGACGAGGGTGCAACCCCAACCCCAGGCTTCTCCATCAACTCCAACGGCAAGCTAGTCTATGACAGCAACACCACCTTCTTCGCCTGTGAAACCGGCCAGCGAGGCGGCATGAACGTCTACACCACCAACAGCACCGATGTCACCCAGTGCACGAAGGTGGAGCTAACTGCCGACTCCTGCTCCGGCTCGGGCTCGGGTTCAGGCTCGGGCTCTAGTTCCGGTACCGGCGCGTCATCCTCTGCTCCTGTCGTCCAGTCTTCCTTTGGTTCCTCCAGCATGCCGACGGCTCCTGCCACTGCCACCAGCGGTGGCTTCGGCCCTGGTGGTAGTGCTAGCTGGGGGTCTACCCCCGCTGGGTCGGGCTCCGGTTCCCAGCCTACTCCTGGCCCCAGTTCGGCTCCTGGCGCCTCGGGCCCTAGCGCATCGCCTCTGTCTGGCTCTCCTCAGACTGTTATGACTACTGTTACCGTCACTGATTGCAGCTGCACTGCTTCTGGTCTCCCTGGTTCCCCTGGTGGTGCCCCTGGCGGTGGCGGCTCTGGTGCTCAGCCCAGTGGTCCCGCTGGTGGCTCGCAGCCCTCTGGATCTGCTCCTGCCCCCTCCGGCGGCGGTGGTGGTGCTCAGCCTTCCCAGTCTGCTCCCGCTCCCTCTGGCGGCGGTGGTGGTGTCCACCCCTCTGGATCTGCTACCCCTGCCCCGTCCGGCGGCGGCAGCACGCCCTCCCAGTCTGGCTCTCAGTCTCCCTCCGGTGGTGGATCTAAGCCCACCGGCTCCGCCAGCGCCTCTGTCCCTGCTAGCTCGGCCTCTTCCACCCCCTCGGCCAGCAAGTCTTCCAGCGGTAGCTGCCCCACCAACTTGAACTCTGGCGACTACCAGTACCCCCATCTGATCATCCCTGTCGACTCCACCAAGCCCAACGACGCCGCAGGCACCTCCTACAACGGTACCGTGTCCTCGACCGTCTCGACCGCGTTCAACTTCGATATCCCACAGTCCTACGCCGGCAAGACTTGCAGCCTGGTCTTCCTTTTCCCCCAGAAACAAGATCTCGAGACCACCGACTTCAGCTTCAGCGGTGACGGCAAGGTCGACTTCGCTAAGCTCTCCTCCGCTGTCAACAACAAGACTACCTCCAGCAACCTCCCTTCTGTGTCCCAGGATCTTGGCGATATCACTGTCTCCCCCGGCAATGGCTACGTGGTCTCCACCTTCTCCTGCCCTGCTGGTACCACCGTCGCCTACGAGATGAAGAACGCTGGCAGCACCAACCTCAACTGGTTCAATGACTGGAACCCCTCTCCGTATGTTTCCTCCCCTGATTCCTTTTGTCGAATATCAGCTAACATGAACTGCAGTCTGGGTCTCTTTATCACCACTTGCTAAATTAGACATGCATTTTGGCAGTCTATTATGGACATGTAATCTCCGCCATCATTGTTATGCCTTGTAAACTCTTTTGATGTCTCATGTTGATACGGATTCTCTTGTTTTCTTCTTTTCTTTTGTTTATCTATTGGTCCGGGTGTCCATAGAAAAGGATATCTTTCTGCAATGCTGTCTGATTTGGAAAAAAAAAAGGATAAGCATTGCCACATTTGTTTGATGTGTAATTGGGACGCATGCACAGGCGTCGACGTTCCTTTTGACTTGTGTATTAGTATATTAAATTCACTCCTTCAGTTTCTCAGGGGTTTTTTGGTCTAGGGGTCTGTTCTTCGCGCCTCCTACTGCATTCGACCACACTACAGATCGACTCTGACACGCAAGTAATCATGCTGCCTAATTGCGGTGGATCAGAGAGAAGGCAGCAAGGCTGGGATAAAAGACGGCGGCAAATGAAACGTCGCAGCCAAGCGTAACTTTATTTCCCTTTAGAGAACTGTCAAAAATTTCGATGGAGCCTGATCCCCAATGCCAACATAGGCGAATATCCGGAGATGGGGATCTGCACTGGGGTTCTGGACCTGAGTACTCGGTACTTGCCACCACGCGGTCTAGACCAGGCACACGCCGGGTACTGGGTACCTGAGTAAAGTATAAACTCAGCCACTGGACTTATTTAGAGATAAAACGCACACCAATAATAGCCGAAGAAGGAAAGTCCCTTACCAAGCATCGATTTGCGTCTCTGCCCCAACGTCTTCATAAGGCATGCGACAGCCTGGGCATTATCCATCATATTGTGTCTTTCGTTTCTTTCCTCTCCATATTTCTCCTGTCCCCATGAACTGGACATAATATGGAGCTCCCCCAAAAACTGCCGTTCTCTAAGCGGCGGCTCCGACCGCGCGTTATCATCTCGTATGTTGGGTTCGATCTTCCTCGCGGAACTCCGAACTAACACTTCTTTCACAGCTACATCTTCGACTATGTGATCCTCATGTACGCCTCCCTTCCTGCATTATCTTGGACTGTGCTAACCTTGTATCTTTCGACTGCAGTGCCTGTGTGGTTGGCTTCGCGATTGTAGACTCAATCGAGCCTTTCCACCAACACTTCTCCCTCACGAACATCTCCATCCAATACCCCTACGCCGTCCATGAACGAATTCCCATGCAATACGCCCTCTGCATTTCCGGCGCGTTCCCACTCATCCTCATCGTCGTATACACATTGGTTATTGATGGCTTATTCTCGCACAATAAGCCCCAAGATGCCGGGTCCGGGAAGAGGAAGCTGAGAGGTCCGCATCGGTGGAAGGATAGACTGTGGGAGATGAATTGTGGAATCCTGGGACTGGTACTGGCACAGGCAGTCGCGTTCGTCATAACCCAGTCGCTGAAGACTGCTTGTGGAAAGCCGAGACCTGATCTCATCGATCGGTGTCAACCCCGTGAGGGGAGTGTTGATTTGTTCCCCGGACTGTCCAATTCAACCATTTGCACTGGTGACCCGGCAATCATCAAAGATGGATTCCGGTCATGGCCTTCAGGTATGTGCGAAAGTGAATGCAAGGGATTGATGATGTCAAGTGCTAACAGTTCTATGTCTAGGCCACAGCAGCTCCTCCTTCGCCGGCCTGGTCTACACGGCCCTCTGGCTCGGAGGAAAGCTCCACATCATGGACAACCGCGGCGAAGCCTGGAAAGCCGTACTAGTGATGATCCCCCTCCTTGCCGCGACTCTCGTCGCCGTGTCGCGGATCATGGACGCACGTCATCACCCCTTCGACGTGATCACCGGCGCAATGCTAGGAACCGCCTGCGGCTTCGTCGCGTACCGCCAGTACTTCCCACCTCTCAGCGAATCCTGGCGCAAGGGCCGCGCCTACCCGATTCGCACTTGGGGAACCGACCCCGCCGGCCCAGACTCGGTGCGGTTGATGGGCACCAAGATCGATAGCTCGACTGCTCTTCGCAACCCCGAGGCGGAGCGCATGAACCCGCCTGACCTTCCTCTCTCGGAACATGAACATGTCCACCCTGCACCTTCGGACTATCTCACTGAATCTAACCCCTATGCGTCCAATGTGTACAATCGCCGCCCGCACGACCACCACGCTGACGGTGGTGCTTGGTCTTCCAGTGAGGACGATGTCACGAATGGGTATGAGATGCGGCCTAACTATGCTAGGGCGCAGAACCCGGGTGCCGATCTCTCTCTGCCTCAGCATGAGAACACTGCGTATGTCTCCCAGACTCAGCCGTTGAGGGGTGCGGAGATGCACTCTGAGGCGCTAGCTGGTCCTGGGCGCCCGTTGACTGATGCCCCCGGTCGGGCTATGTAGAGTCCATTGATAGGATTAATTTTATGATTGCAGTCTGGATATAGGCATTCGTTGGCGACGGCTTGGGCATGATATGACAATGCGATGGCTGGGTTCTGTCTGTATGGTTATGGGGCGTTTAGAGTATTGCATTTATAGCCGATTAACGAATACAATAATCTGCCTAAGTCTACTACTGTACATTGGTTTACATTGGTTTATAGTGTAAGCCGGGGGAGTTGAGATAGGCTAGAGTCGAAATGGCTCCACTTGTTGGCTTGACAACACACACTTTTATACTGGATGCGACAAGGAGAGATCAACAAATGCAAGACATAGATTAAATCCGAGGGTCTATGCAAGTGACTAGATTGGATCAATGAGACAAAATCACGTCGAGGCCACTTAGACCCGGGACCCCCCAGCCTCCCCCAATGGCGCTCTATGAGTCGCCCAGCCTCCCCAGCCCAAAGATGACGCTGCAAGATCTGTGTAAGATTTCCCCTCATATTTATCCTTTTTTTCTTTAGATTTCACTTTTCTCCCCTGCATCTCTTTTCATCGTGCATCCTGCAGCTGTTGCTTGTTGCTGTCGCAGTGACATTCTGGTGTAGCGCCCACACTCATACAAACACCCAGATACAATCACAAGCACAAGCAACACGATTGTCGCATTCCAGAGATCTAATCTTCAAACTCTATCAAGATGATTGGCAGTGTCTTCTTCATCTTCAACCGCCTGGTTGAGATCGTCTTCCTGATCCCGATCATTGGCATGCTGGTATGTCAATCCCATCCTCTCTCAGTACTCAGTCCAGAACACAACAACACCAGAACACATAGAAACATCCATAGCTAACCACCTCCACCAACCCCAACAGGCCTACTTCGTCGACGGCTACCTCAAAGCAAACCAACTCACACCCCCCTACATCCTCGTCCTCTTCATCGTCAGCGTAATCGCCATCTTCTGGGCCGTGGACACCCTAATCCGCTTCTCAACAACAAAACGCTCAGCAATCTTCGTCGCCTTCATTGACCTGTGCTTCTTTGGCGCTTTCGTCGCAGGTGTCTACCAGCTACGCTTCATCGCGAACGCAGATTGCGCCAGCTGGCATGGAGGATCCGTCTGGATTTCCCTGGGCCCGTTCGGGTCGTATGGTGACAGGACGGATAACCCGCTTGCGCTGGATGTGAATAAGACGTGTGCCATGCTTAAGGCTTCGTTTGCGATTGGTATTATGGAGGTTGTTTTCTTCTTTTGGACTGCGTTGCTGGCGCTTTTCTTGCATCATTCGCATCGCGATGTTGTTGTTAAGGAGACTACTGTTCGGAGACGGAGCCATAGTAGTCGTCGTGGTCATGGGTCTGGGTCGCATCATTCCCGTCACCGCAGTTCCAGCCGGAGGCCTTCGCACTATGTTGTTTGAGGTGGGGTACAGATTGGCTTTGTTTCTATGTTTGTTTCTTTTCTTTTCTTTACTTGTTCTGGGTTTGGGCATCTTATGCGTTTTATGATGCTGATGATATGATCGATTTAATGAGACATGAAAATGTTTTGCGATGATGGAGATCGGGTTGATTGATATCATGTCGGCTCACGATTAAATGTGCTGGAATGATGACATTTATGCCATTGGAGAGAGCAATCTCGAGGTCTTTTTTGTGATAATGGTTCCTTTTGTCTAAATATCAGTTCCTATTACGATCTATATGACTCTATTCATGCTGTAATTTCTAATTGCCGTTCATTGGCTCGTATAGCCGTTAACTATGAGAAGTTCGATCTTCTACACGGCCCCAATCGTGTGCGAGGACCTAGTACACCACAAGAAGCAATTTAAAAACACGAACTTCTCTCTTCTGATATCCCCACAAAGACCTAATTGAGGAATAATAACTATTCCCTTATGGCATTAGCACTTCTATTGTTAGATTGGATACGAGAGACCAGGCTATATAGCGGCATGATCTACTAGACTCTTCGTATTGCTTCACCCGTGTTTGAAATAAATACCACGCAAACCATCCCCCTCCTAAGCAAAAGTTCTCATCCCAGTCTACTTCCAAAATGCTTTCTATGCAGGGCTGCAGAAGCCTTCTTAGACCCACCAGTCTGATAGTTCTACTGGTTGCTCTCCTCTCCGCAATCCAACCCGCACAAGCAACAGTCCCTTCATCCAAACGATTCGACCTGTCAAAGTCTTCATATGATTTATTCCGCAGCAAATCACTTCACGATGCAACCGTCCAACAAGGATTCGCCTTCGACAACACCAATCGCAGACTCTTCGTCGCTCAACGACGCGATGGATCTTCCGAAACTTCAGGCGACTTATGCATTACCCAACTCGACTTTGACGGCAACTACCTGGGATACATGTATCTAAAAGGATTTGGACATGGCGTGTCCTTCGGTGCTCAGGCTGTGGGATCATCTTCTTACCTGTGGACTGAAGTCGAAGCCAACTCAAATGGATACGGCAAGAAGCTTGCTCGGTTTAAGTTTGCCAGTGGAACTACGCTCTCGTCTTCCTCGTCGTCCCTGAAGAAGTTTGTACCTGTCTCTGGGGCCACGGAGCATACATGTTCTATTGATCCCGTGAACAACCGCCTGATTGTTCGCCATCAGCTCAGCGATGGGAAACATATCTCTGTCTTCGATCTGGCCAAGGCCACTGATGGAGATTTCTCCGCCCCCCTTGCAACCTTCAAACATCCCAAGCTGTCGTCGAAGTCGGATACTTTTCAGGGCTATGCAGCTTATGGGGAGTATATCTATCTCTTGACTGGTAACTCCTACGATGTCACCGGCGGAGAGGTCAATTCAGAAGTGACGAGCGTGAATATGAATACTGGTGCTGTTGTTCAGGGTCCTACTCTCACAAAAGCTGGCTCTACGCTTGTGTTCCGTGAACCGGAAGGTTTGGCTATTTATCAGACTGTTGCTGGTGAGGTACGCCTGTTTTTGGGATTTGCTTCCGGTAAGGGTGGAGACAGGCGGTCGAATTTGTTTTATAAAAATGCTTTGGTTTAAATGAAGTATTTTCAGGGATTTGGTATTGCGGAGGCCGGACAATTGAGATATTTGAAAGACGTATATAAACACGAAACCAAGTTAAGTGTCAATCATAAATCCCGACGTCGGGTAATGATGCAAGATTATAGCCGGTTGCCCCGCATAATCTCTCCGCTAGATATAACGTCCCGGCAAAAGGAGGGTCGGTGCAGTTTGTTTCACTTGAGAAGATATACCCCAGCCGCGCGCATCGATATGGCTGTAACAAAGCACCCGCGAGATCCTCCCCCCTTGGACGAGTTGGCAGCTATCATCGAGCGCTCTCTCCTCTGCAACTTCTCAACTGCAAGCGTGAGTGTCGTGCAATGCCCTGACCTGCGCCATGCACCTTTCAACCTCGCTGGATCCGGCTTATCCGGTAACACTCGAATCGCCGACATAGGAGGACAACAACACCTTTTCCCTCAGCCAGTCCTCGACGCCAAATATTCAATGCTCTCGCTCGCTAAGGATATGGAAATGTCTTCAGCGAAAGGCTTCATTTTAGGAGCAGGAGCCGCGCCATTCCAGGATATCGGCCAGAACGCCGAATTAGCACCAAATCTGTCATGGGAAGCAAAGAACAACACATCAGATCTCACTGATACAAACTCTTTAAACGTGGAGAGTGGCACGCGCGTGATCAAGATTAGCCAAGATAACTCACCAAAATGCGAACAACTCCCAAGCACAAACTGCGCACTGATGATAAACCTCTTCGGTTCAAATGGCGAAACAGGCGCAGTCCTCAAAATATCCGCGCGGACACGCACTGGCGAGGAAAACTTCACAAACTGTATCCGGAATGGACTGCGCGATGCATATGGTGATTCAAGACCTATCAGTCTGGGCGGCGCATTCCTACTCAAATCTGGAAGCGCAAAATTCCACATTATGCCTGATTTCCCGGCAGAGGACCAATTACCTTTTCGAGATCGGCAACAGCTGGAAAAGGAATGGCTTACTTATCATGTTTTTGATGCGCCGGTGGTCTGTTTGACGGTTATGCATAGTGCTGATCCTGAGGGTTTGGGGTTGAGGATGGAACATACTCATTGTTTTGAGACGGATGGAGGTCGGAAGGGCGGTCATTATCATTATGATATTCAGGAGGGTTGTGAAGATGTTGAGTATGAGGCTTACTTTAATGTGGCTAGGATTGTCTATAGGATTGATAGACCCGGTGTATAATAGCGGCAAACAAGCCAAATGTCTTGGGGTAGATAAGAAAATGACGCCTGAAGAGCGTACGACAGGGGGTCATAAATGAGTACACAGTACCCCTGATGAAGTATCGGGCAACCTCTACACGAAGCCTCGAAGCATCATACATTATTTTCGCCCTACTTTGGCCTCTCTTTTATAGCCTCTTTTGCCCATTCTCAAGTGCCTCAGGTTGTGGTTTTTCAAGAATGGCAGGTGAATCATATAGAAGATATAAAGGAGGGAATGTGAAAAGACTTATGGCCTGTGGCTGTATCTGTCTTTGGTTGGCCTGTCGTCTACGGGCTTTTGTCACTTGGAGGAAGGGCTTAAATATGCAATAGAAGCGCTATATTATTAGGTGGGTGCTGCTGGATCGTGTATCGCGCATGGCCAGCCCCTTAATTAAGCCGTTACAGGGGACTCATTTCCAGCGACGTTTCGTGATTGGATGACCTAATGCACAGCGGTCGTAGTCTGCATGAGGACTGACGTCTGAACACGAAATTGACACAAATCCCTACTAGTCCAACTCGCCCCTATTTGCCAAATATCCAGGCTCGGAGCCATGGCCTGTTCAGGGTCGCAGGTCCGGATTTTGGGGGCAATTTTGCGCAGGGCTCAGTTTTGCTGACTCCATGTTTAGTTTTGCCTCGCGTTACCTCGACTTTAACGGTTCCTTGGAGTCCAGATATTGGCGCTGCTCCATCTTAGCTGCAACATGGATCCCCTGAGTGTGGTGGAAAGCATTACTGGCATAGCCACGACCGCTTACCAACTTATCGGGTATCTGAGTACTGTCGTGGCAGGAGGTAAAGAGCGCCTGTCGCTGTTGCAAGAGCTCACTACCTTGTGGATTACCATCGCAGTCCTTAAAGCACAGCTTGCTCCAGAAGGAACGGTTGTCAACAAGGAGGACTTTCCTTCAGGGCTTGTGGAAATTTTCAAAACAGATGGCCTGTTGAAGGAGCTCGAGAATTTGGTACAAGAGGTGGAGCGGATGCTCACGCCTCGATCTACCCCTAAGAAGATCCGTCAGACTCTTGCTTGGCCCCTTAGTAAGAAGGATGTCATTCAAACAATTGAGCACATACAGTGCTTACAGCAGACCTTGCACTTTGCACTCGATCAAGTAAACTATAACCTGACCAAGGAGATCCGTCGTGATGGGCAGGCGATGAAAACTGTCATGGACGAGACCCGCCTCAAGGAGATGATTGACTGGATATCACCGCTCAATTTCATCACGAAGCAAAGCATGATCTTTAAGGAGCAGCATGAAGGTACATGCAAGTGGTTCTTTGAACATGACTCGTTCATCGAGTGGAAGGAAACCGGAAATGCGATTTTGTTTTATAAAGGAATTCCCGGTGCTGGCAAGACCTTTCTTTCGTCCATTGTGATCAATGAGTTAGACCGGTTGCGACTCGCTGAAAACAGTGGCGTCGAGAACTCAGCAATCTTGATGCTCTACTGCAAATGGGATGATGCACACTCCCAGTCTGTTGATGGATTGTTGGCAAGTCTTCTCAAGCAAATCGCACAACGCTATGGGACAGTTTCCAGGAACATGGACGATCTTTTCTCCAAGCATAGCAGAGCTGATACGAATCCAAGTCGAGAAGAGTACATGTCTACACTCAAGGCGGAACTTGAAAGATTCCCGAAAACATTCATCGTGGTCGATGGTCTTGATGAATTACGCGAACAGAAGAGCCGGCTCGAACTTCTGGAGACCTTGACTTCTATAGAAGCCTCGGTGAACATTATGGTCACATCACGTCCGCTCGTTGACATCGTGCAGCAATTTGAAAACAAGGCAAGGAAAATCCGGTGCGGAAAGTGCAAGCAAGCAGATACCCGATACCGATTCCAATGTGTCGATTGTACCGAGGATTTGCACGAGTCTTTCGATCTTTGTACGTCGTGTTACGAGCAAGGCGAGCGATGCGGAAGTAATGGTCATATTTTTGCGAAGAAATTCAACAGTATCTTCATCGACATCGAGGCTGTGAAGGAAGATTTGATGATCTATGTGCAACACTACATCTTCTGATTTCCTACAGCGGTGTGTGGAGACCACACCTGGATTGATGGACAGCATTCTTCATGCTGTGGTCAAAGGTAGTGGAGGAATGTTCTTGCTAGCCAAATTTAACATGGATACTTTGGCGTCGAAATTACGCCCGGGAGAGGTCGTCTCTGCGCTCAAGAGAGGCAACCTCCCTCAACAATTGGATGGAATATATACAGCTGCACTTGAGAGAATCAAGGATCTGCCGCCCAGCCACAAGGAAGTTGTCATGGACTTTCTTCGATGGATTGTCTTCGCCCAAAGACCACTCCACGCTCGAGAGATCGAGCATGCTCTCGCTGTATCCGACAATGACCATGATATTGACACCGACAACATCATCCGAGCGCACGTTCTAGCATCTATGTGCGCCGGCCTGGTGATGCTTGATGAGTCTGATCGTGTTAGGCTCGTTCACTACACCGTGATGAATTTCTTCATCAGTCACCACGATCAATGGTTTCCTGGGGGAGCAATAAAATTAGCTTCAACTTGTCTCACCTATCTGTCCTTTGATTCGTTCAAAACCGGCGCCTGTACCGGTCCCTCTGTGTCTGCAGATTTCGATGCTCGTCTCGTCAGGTATCCCTTTCTAGGATATGCTGCTGAGCATTGGGGCAAGCATCTCCGTGAATACCCCAATGAAGAACTTTACAACCGGGCAAGACTCCTTTTGACCAACCGCAACTATTTTGAAGCTGTGTCTCAGGCACTATATTATCTGGATAATAAGGACTCAGCTAGCTGGTCTGGAAATAGCGGAAGCTCTGCTATGCACCTTGCCGCACACTTTATGTTAAACAGGCTGGTCATGGTGCTTCTTGGGGCAGGGGTCGATCCAAACATTAGAGACGACAATGGGGCACGCCTCTTGTGGTGGCGGCGATGAGAGGCAGCTGTGATGTTGCAAGCACGTTGATTAAAGCTGGTGCAGATGTCAATTCCCCGAATAAACACGGTGATACTCCTCTTCATATTGCTGTTCGAATTGATGACCAGAGAATGGTTGTTCTGCTACTCCGATGCAAAGATCTTGACGTCAACCCCACACGGTACACACCTTTGATGTTGGCTGCTATGTACGGACACACCAAAACGATGGAGCTGCTTCTTAAAGGACCCCGATTGGTCAACAAGAGAGACCCTAGGACGTGCTGTAGTGCTTTGATGCTTGCAGCCATCAAAAACAAGCTAGATGCCGTGCGAATGCTTTTAAACCATCCCGAAATCGATCTCAATCTGCAAGAGTACAGCTCGGGAAATACTGCTTTGATACACAGAGCGCAAAGGGGATACAGTGGTGTTGTGGAGTTGCTTCTTGCTCGCGGTGCAGACATGGAGGTTCTGCAGTATAAAACAAAAGGCACTGCTCTAAATATAGCCGTTTGCTATGGTCAGACTTCAATTGTCCAAACGCTGCCTGAACACGGCGCAGACCATCGCAGAACAGACTATCTTGGGGCCGGAATACTTCATTGGGCCGCGTCGACTGGTCGGCCTGATATTCTTCGAGTCTTGTTGGAGTTTGATAAGACCCTCGACGTCAATATGCAAGATGCAAACGGCAAGACACCACTCCATGACACTGCTCGACAAGGCTCAATTGGTACTGCAACAATTCTTCTTGAAACCCCAGGGCTCAGGAAGATACCGGCTACACCTCTAATGGCGGAAATGGCCAGCCTAGCCAGACCCGTCAACTTTCAGTTAGTGAATATTCCAGTGCCGAATCGGACATTGATGTCGATGGCGATGATCTCACGGGACTTGATGCCTTGGAAGCGAGGACTAGGAAGCAGCAACGCCAATTGAACTCGGCTAAAGTATTGTACTGGTGGCCTAAAGGTACGGGTTCCCAGATATTTGTGCGCTACGGAAGCCGGTCCACGCCGGTCTATCGCATCCGGGCTGGGTTATACGAGAGCTACAACCTAAGGCACGTAGAGCGCGTTTTGACCTCGTAGGCTCGCGGCACTGCTAAAGTTGTTATTAAGAGGAAGGGGCTGGTTGAGGAGTTTTGGAGATGGAACGAAATCACGTGGAGGACTTTGTTGGTATTGGTTGGAAGGTTGAAGATGATGATGAGCAGGGACTAGATCCTCTTAACCGCCTTCTCCCCGCAAAAGGCACTATCTATCCACAAACCCGGATCCTAGTTAAATGGAAAGAGGAAAGATGGGGCTGTTACTCTGGAAGGGCGGTCTTTCATCCGCCGTATAACAGTCGGCTCTGCCTTGGACGGTGATAGAGTGATTTATCAAAAAGCGGAAGATCTTGAGACGAATTACCGTAAAAGGTATGGATTAGATGATATCGAAGACGGCGATGATATAGATAGCGACGACTCAATTCCGCCAGCTAGTGCTCGTAACAGAAGACACCGTAGCGAGCCTGCTCGTTACTCGGTTCCACGAAGACAGAAGTTGAGAAACCGCTTTAATTCCATTGAAGGTAGCGATTTCGAGAGCGACGTATCTACTTAGTCGACGCACTACGTTAACAGAAGATACCGCAGTGAGCCAGCTCGTAATCCGGCGTCATTAATACGAAAAGGAAAGGCTCCCGTGAAGACAGATGATTCCGCTGCTGAGATAAGACAGCTTGAGCAAGAGATTCGGCGACTAAAGATGCGTAGGTCAATGTCCCCTGAGGATAAGCGCGAAGCGCAGTGGAGACCTCGACGCTGAGGTGATCGGGAGCGCACTGCTTGATACGCGAATACCTTTTGGCCGTTCCCTGGTCCTGTTGTGAGCTGGTCTCAAACAGATTTTTGCAAGGGTCATAGCAAGGTTAGAAGGCTTGTCGCTGCAGGTGCGGCTATAGCATTTTGGCAAGTCTAAGTTCGAAGTTTTAATGGTTCAGTTTGTGCTTCTTCGGCCATGGTTTTTTAATGAGCTTATTACGCATATGCATTCATTTTAGTCATATTTACAGCAACGTTTTATTCTAGGTTACAGACTGCCAATTCTACCTAGCTTTTCAGTGATCGCACTTCCGTTGACTTTAATCTAGGGCACTTAAGTATCAACAGGTAGTATTGGGCAACATACAGACGCGCTCGAAATCAGTTTCACCTCTACACTTTCTTCAATTCTTTGTCGAACTCTATTTTGCATGACGCCATTCTATTTGCGGTTAGCTTACCCCTGTCCCACAATCTTGGCAGTATCATAGTACAGTAATAAATAATGGCATAAAATAGCTATCGTATCACGGTTGTACGGGCCATGCCCTGTCTAGAACTACTCGCTTGCAAACAAGCCAAACAGACTAGCTGGTTGCCTGGCCACATTCCTCACTTCCCCCCGCCTCCTTCAATCCACCCACCACGTTTACTTTTCTTTACTGACATAGTGGACGAGCGAAGACATACGTAGATACAGTACTGGTGGGATGAAACATTTCTTTCCAAGCGACTTATCCGCTATACAAGACGCTGCATTCCTGTGGAGCTGGGAGCGCAATTACTTATGTCCAGTCATTTACGAAGTTATGGCGGAATAACCCTTTTGCCGGTATGAATTCAGGGATCCATGGCGGCCTCACGCATTCGCCAACAAGCTCACGATTAGACATTTGCTCAAATCCAATCCTATTCAATTTTGGATTCAGATATAACGGCCCAGTTTGCCTTGGTTAGGGTCTTGTTACGGTTTCTGGAACGGCCAGGAGAGCAGAACAATACTGTCGCTAATATCTATTCATCTTGCTTTGGCCAACACCCCCGTCGACATCTCTATAACAGAAACCTCTACGCTCCAACAATTTGCAGATCCTGTGATAGGAAAGAGACATTTCTCAAGTTGCATTTTAGGGACATAAAGAGACGATGCAACGAACTTTCGACCAATTCGCAGACGTCAACGCAGAAAACGGCGAGTACGGAAATGCCCTCCAGGCTGCGGCACTTGAAGGAAACGTAACAACCATACATTTGCTTCTCGAGAAGGGCGCAGACGCCAACGCAAAAGGAGGCCGTTATGGAACGGCTCTTCAGGCTGCGGCATTTGGAGGAAATACGGCTACCGTACAGGTGCTTCTTCAAAAGGGCGCGGACGTCAACGCAAAAGGAGGCCGTTATGGAAATGCCCTCCAAGCTGCAGCACTAGAAGGAAGCATAGCAACTATACAAGTGCTTCTCCAGAATGGGGCAAACGTTAACGCACAAGGAGGCCGTTATGGGAGTGCCCTCCAGGCTGCAGCACTCCAGGGAAATACAGCGACTATACAAGTGCTTCTCCAAAAAGGCGCGGAGGTCAATGCACAAGGAGGCCGTTACGGAAGTGCCCTCCAGGCCGCGGCATTCCGAGGAGACTTAGCGACCGTACAAGTGTTTCTCAAAAAGGGTGCGAATGTTAACGCACAAGGTGGGGAGTATGGAAACCCCCTACAGGCTGCGGCATTCCGAGGAGACACACCGACTGTACAAGTGCTTCTCGAGAAGGGCGCGGACGTCAACGCAGAAGGTGGCGAGTATGGAAATGCCCTTCAGGCTGCGGCATCTAGGGAAGACACAGCGACCGTACAAGTGCTCCTCGAGAAGGGCGCAGACGTCAACGCAGAAGGTGGCGAGTATGGCAGTGCTCTTCAAGCTGCGGCTTTTCAAGGAAACATCACAACTATACAAGTGCTGCTCCAAAAAGGAGCGGACGTCAACGCACTAGGAGGCCGTTACGGAAGTGCCCTGAAGGCCGCGGCATTTCGAGGAAACACAAAGATCATACAAGTGCTTCTCGAGAAGGGGGGAGATGTCAACTTACAATATGGTCGCTATGGTAGTGCCCTCCAAGCTGCATTATTTGGAGGAGACACCGGGACCTTACGAGTGCTTCTTGAGAAGGGAGCAGATGTCAACGCAGAAGGTGGCGAGTATGGCAGTGCTCTTCAGGCTGCGACGTTTCAAGGAAACGTAACGATCATACGAGTGCTCCTCGAGAAGGGCGCGCACGTCAACGCACCAGGAGGTTATTATGGAAGTGCTCTTCAGGCCGCGGCATTTCGAGGCGACACAGCGATTGCACAAGTGTTTCTAGAAAAAGGCGCCGATGTCAACGCACAAGGTGGTAAGTATGGGAACGCTCTTCAGGCTGCAGCATTTCGAGGAAATATAGCAACAATGCAAGTGCTTCTCGAGAAGGGCGCGGACGTCAACGTAGAAGGTGGCGAGTATGGCAGTGCTCTTCAGGCCGCGGCTTTCCAAGGCAATACAGCAACAATACAAGTGCTTCTCGAGAAGGGCGCGAACGTTAACGCACCCGGAGGCTGTTTCGGAAGTGCTCTCCAGGCCGCGGCGTTTCGAGGAGACACAGCGACCGCACAAGTGCTTCTAGAAAAAGGCGCCGATGTCAACGCACAAGGCGGAGAGTATGGGAACGCTCTTCAGGCTGCAGCGTTTCGAGGAAATACAGCAACAATACAAGTGCTTCTCCAGAAGGGCGCAGGTGTCAACGTACAAGGAGGCCGTTATGGAAGTGCTCTCCAGGCTGCGGCATCTGAGGGGAACACAGCGGCCGTACAAGTTCTTCTCGAGGAGGGCGCGGACGTCGACGCTCATGGCGGTAACGAAGGACGGACATCACTTCATCTCGCAGTAGAGGCAGGCGCTACCTCTGTTGTTACTCAACTTCTCGAACATGGTGCTCTTACCAATATACATGATTTTAGCGATGCAACCCCACTACAACTTGCGGTGGAAAAGTCCGACCATCGAATTGCGCTTCTCCTTTTTCCGAAAAGCAATGACAGTCTCCGCTTTTTCAAGGCTTCCACATGGAGAGCCCTCTTGCCTGGTGCCGAAGGCCATCTTGAAATGATTGCAGGGAAATCCTCCATCGTTAGGAAAAAGCGAGAGAATGAGATCAGGAATATGAGCTATCCCCTTTTCCAGAACGTTGGGGAGCTGGCTGAAAGGATCGATGATCTTATGACATCGGACTTTAATTCCAGGCGAATCTTGTAAGCATTCTTTGATCACTAAAAAAACTACATCGCTAACACTCAGTTGGGCAGTATTCTTGCTAATGGATCTCTATTTTCATCTTTCTCAACTGGCGCCCGCTGTAGTTGGTGGCTCAGAACACAGCGGCAATCGTCGATAGACTATTTCAATGGTCGACGCATACAGGAGGTGAGCCGATTATGGAAAATCCAGTCTAGCACAGTACCCAACCGAGACGTTTTGAGCCGAATTCCGATGAAAGACTGTAAGTGTCCTCTTTTGGTACATTCCATGTCGAGCAACTTCCTCATCAGTGTATGAAGGCTTCATCGAATGCTGTTTTACTACTCGTACAATTGCGTTACCTACCTCGGCCAAAATCAGTTGGCCCAGGTTGTCCGATGCCTCCACAATAGACATAAGGCGCTTTGAAAAGACACATGGTATTCTCTGGATCTTGACCAAGCGCCACGACACCAAGGCCTCAGAAAGTGATTTGGAATCAAGAATATTCTTCAGCACCTCTGAATACGCACAAGTACCACCTTCTGCAACGCACCTTTTCCCCTTGCTTGTTCAGCAACTACTGCAAGAGTGGGATAGTACTTTTCACGCAGCGGAAGGCCGTTTGGAAATGATGGTGAGTAGGTTCTACTTCTCTACTGAAACTCAAATTAATTATAAACAGCGCACAGAGTTGCTGATTGCGAATGGAAGAAGCCCACATCTGATTCGAGATTTGCTGAGCGATGCCCAAATATGGGATCTGTTGAGAAAGAGCTGCAATAAGCAAATAGCCGAGCTGACGACATTTTACCACAAATACATGAGTCAATCCTGGGCTGTGGTTCGCGAGCTTGACTCTACGGGAAGCTCCCGTAAACAAGCAAACTCTTTCCGGGAAGAAATAGGTAAATTGGAACAGGAGTATTTAAGAGGTCTTCGAGTTTTGACGGAGACCTCTCATAATCTCATTCAATTGGTATCAATAATTGATTGCTTTCAGAGAACAATGACTGACCATTGGCAGGAATTCAATCTTACGTCAATCTTGGAAGCACAAAAATCAACATCGACAAACAAAAGCATGAAACGGCTTAGCTGGATTACGGTAAGCCTTCATTACTTGCCTTGAAATACTGCGTCGCCTGCTAACAGTTGATGTTGTCAGTTTATTTTTCTCCCTTTGATGTTCATCTCGGTTCGGCCCTCACTTAATGTTTCGCCTTGCATGAGAAGGACTGACCTAGTTATAGAGTCTCTTTGGAATGAACATAGACATCTTGGCGTTCAATCCGCCTTGGTGGTTGTATATTCCTTTTGCCGCGGCCACCACGCTGCTGACGCTCGCGGTGTGGCTCATCTTCAAGGGCAACAGTGATGTTAGTATGACTAATATCTTCCGGGTCTTTCGGTCGTTAACCATCTAGATAGCTGGAGGGCAGTATAGAACGTGTATTCAATCGTCTGATAAGGCGCCAGTCACACCAAGACCTTGAGAGAGGTCAGCAACAAAGCCTCTCTGCACAGCGACGAACAGAATTGTTTTCACCTATGGGTAAGAAAAGGTCTTGATGTCTTCGAATAGTCGTTTTGTTGATTAGTCCAATTCAATTCATCCAGATGAGTGGAGTTTAGCGATGCATTATTGCCACCAAAAAGTGGTTCAGAAACCATATGTAAGCTTTACTTGGGAGATTTTGTCAGGTAGTTCGACGAGAAAGTCAAGTTCGTCAAACACGATACTGTATCCTAATGGTGATGAACCCCAAGCTTAAGATCCCGCCTAATCTATCGGACCAGGCAGGGTTCGCAGTACGCCCCTACTCTAGCATTATACAAACACACAGCGCCTTTAAAATTGGACCCTTCACTGGACTGTTGCTACCAGGACTGTCCTAGTACATTATTCACTACTAGAGACTATTAACTAATAAATAATGCAGACATGTCTAGAAGAGAACGAAGAATGATTCAAAACGCTGCGGAGAGTAACATAAGAAATTGAGGAAAGACAAACACTGATCAAGAAATGGGGATAAGGCTGTACCCCGAGAACGTGAGAAAAATGATACGATCTGATGAACAGGCGATCGCTAAATATATTGCAGAAATAGCAAAATGAAAGGGGTAGGTCGGACGGTATTCAGCGGGCAGCCACAGAAGATTGACTCCATTATAGGTGATCCAACAACCGTCATTATTCAATCCATACCCATATCGCTTAGGCAAAGAGGTCGCGCAGTAAGGCACTTGACCGGTAGGACTAGTGGAAGGTAGGACTAGTGGAAGATAGATCAGACGTACCAACTGACGTGTGTAGATGATTGCGAATTTTTTTATCAATTTGAAGGAAGCCAAGGGAGTTGATATTGAGTTTCCACGCGCACAGGCCGGTGGCCAGATCCCAGATCCTGACTGTGTTATCAGAGAAGAAAGTTGTTCTGGTTGTCTCGCCATTTTTGAAACTCGTTGTTATCGAGTACCCTGCAGTATAAATCTTTGAGCAGCCCTCCATTGGTGTTCTGAATACGGTCTTTGTCATGTTTAGAATCAGTCTTCCGCAGATCCCGCAGGCACGCTTGATTCAATGCTTCTGATTGTACTTGAGCAGTCACACCGGTTAGGTACATTCTTTTGAAGTCATGGGCCCCACTCACAGAACTGATTAGTGATATGACCAAGGTTCTGTCCAACTTGGAACCCAGAGTTTGAACCGTCATATGATGTCGTGTATGCCATTATTGCAGCCAGGTGATTCTTAGAAGAGTTAGTCGCGAACGTAGGGCTAAGTTGGCTAGGTCGTAGAAGTACCCCGCTATCAGGTGATCTATCAAGCGACGCTAGGAAGCAGACTGGTCGCTTTGGTTTGAACTCCTCAACCTGTCGAAAACGCAATATGTATAATATTCTCCAATGTGGAATTTAAAGTCACTTCGGCTAATATTCATTCATCCGCCTTGTACAAGAAGGGTTGCTGTCAATATTGGAGTGGTGACTCGTGAGGAGCATCGAGATATAGGGTATCAATCGTATGATTATTTCCAATATATACATAGTACTTTATCATGTGACTTTGAGTTACAATACGTTTCGATAATCCGAAATGGTCTAAGCCTAACACAGACTAGTGTGTTTCAGGATAAAAGATACGAGAGTTAAGTGGTGAAACTGATTTCGAGCGGGTCTGTACATAGCGCATAGTAAGTCCATATCTTGTAATAGTAAGGCGAGAAATTCAACAATTTCTCTTGGTAAAGCTAGCTGCCTTTCAAGTGTATATGCAGCTGCATTCCCCGTATTCCACTCTTCATCCTTCAGTAGCAAAACTAGAGTTAGGAGGATCCATTTTGGTAAAGATGCTTGTCCACCCAATGCATAGGCAGCTGAGCGCCTTACATCGGATTCTTTTAATAGTGAGGTCAGAGAGTCAAAGATCTCTCTTGGCAAAGTCGACTGCCTTTGAAGTGCATATGCAGCTGACAAACTTATACCTGGCTCCTTATCCTGTAAGAACAAGGCTAGAAACTCAAGAATCCGTTTGGGTAAACATGCTTGTCCACTTAATGCAGGCAGCCGCCGACCTCATACCTGAGTCTTTCAATAATATGGCAAGAGACTCAAGAATCTCTCCTGGTAAATCTGACTGCCTTTCAAGTGTATATGCAGCGGCATACGCTTTATGCTTCAATAGCAGGACTAGAGATTCAAGGGTCTCTGGTAAAACTGGTTGTCCACCCAAGGCGAAAGAAGATGAGGATCTCAATATCGTCTGTCGAATTGACCTGGCTGCCCCTAAACCAAGCTCAAAGGTACCGTCATACATCGGACTACTGCACAGGCATAGTTTTGTTTTCCTCTGCTTATGACCGCCAAACAACGCAGCAAATTCTAGAACACTGCGGCTTCCTACAGAGTACAGCGACGTGTTTGACCTTGAAAGGTACCACGCAATGTAAGGGCTACAGGTCAGGTTAGCGCCGGCCTAATCAATCCGGCAATTGCCATCGGGATATATGCTTATCGATTATTACATGAGCGCCACCCTCTGTCCATGGAATCGCGGGAAATTTTTTCTTGGATCGAGTGACAGGTGAAACAAAAATGGTCACCGATGACTCTTTACTTCGAGGCTCGACATTGCTAGAACAGATGTTCCAGCGCGGTGTGCGAATTGCTGCAATCACAGCAAAAGATAAGCTGCGCAAGATCCTTGCTTACGGATTGAAGGGGTCCATCTGTTTCTCGTCTGAGAAAGCTGCAGAATGCACCCTGGAGGAGAACGGTATTACCGACGTGGAGAAGTGGCTTGGCCAGACCGCGCCTAGTCAATACTCTGGCGACTTGTCTTTATTCGTGCTTGATGCAGGAGTCAAATTGCTCTAGGAGAAGAAATCCGACTTTTTGTATTTGACATTGTCCGACTATGTTCAGCACAAACATGCACCAGGAAGCAACGAGGCTGATGAGTTCATGGGCGCCATTGACGAGAGGTTGCAAAAGCTCGCTGCTTCGGCTTCTATCATCGGTGTCACCGGGGACCATGGCATGAGCCAAAAGTCCAATCAAGCAGGGGAACCCAATGTTCTCTTCTTGGAGGAAGTGCTCAATTCCAAATTTGGACCGGATGCTTCCAGAGTGATCTGTCCCATTACGGATCCGTTTGTCCGACACCATGGCGCACTTGGCTCATTCGTGCGTGTCTATCTCAAAGATATCACCCTGCTTGATGGGATGGCACTCTTTTGTCAATCGCTCCCAGAAGTCGAGATTTCTCTGAGTGGCAGGGACGCCGCACAGAAATATGAGATGCCTCTGGACCGTGAAGGAGACATCGTCGTGATTTCCAAAATAAATGTCGTAATTGGGAGTACAAAAGCCAACCATGACCTTTCGAACTTGAAAGATCATCCTTTGCGATCGCATGGAGGATTGAGCGAGCAAGACATTCCAGTCATTATGTCGAAGCCGCTGAGCAATACCAACACTGGAGTGACGAAGGGCTGGAGGAACTGTGACATCTTTGATCTTGTTCTCAACTGATTTGAGATGATATACGCATATCATGGCATCATTGAACGTGTTGCGGGGCCGATAGATGTACTATAATGCAGCCACCAGTCATCGACATCAGGGAACTGAGTCTGAAAATCAAAGCTGGCCATATTTTCCATCCATCCCAGATCGAATCCCAGTTGCTGTTCCGGAACTGGAGGAGCATGTTGCACCATTTCATGGGTAGAGTTACTAGGTAATCTATGCAACAATCTTTCTAGACCCTCACTAATGACCACGAGGATGTGCTGCTTATGCATAGACTGTGTAGTCTCCCGTAGAGCAGACACCGTCTGGGCCACTAGTGACAGGATTTTGTCTGTGTCAATTCGGATGACCGTCGCGTATTTGGTTGCGACTTTGAGAAGGAAGACAACGGCGAATGCGAGCATAGTATCAAAGTACAGCGGGAGTCCGTTTAAGAAAGAACGGAATTCGTCATCAGAGACAATGACACGCAGGATGGACATGGCCGATAAAACACCAGCGTTGGCAATTTCTTCCAGTTCCGGTGACATGCACTGCGGTGTATCATCCGATATTGGTGCACCCCGAAAAGCGTGCGAGCAAAGATAAAGCTTTGCAAAATGGAAGTGGAACCCAACTCCCTTTTGAGGGTAATTCCCAACATTTCGGTTGGCCTTGAAGCTTTCGCTCCAGTCTGCAAACCAGGTATCCAGGGAAATTGAGTATCGACGTAACTGGGGCAACGACTGCGGCAAAATCGGGGTATCGACATCGACGCCAAAAGTGTCAAAGACTTGGCCTAGGATGGACCATTCTTTGACCTGACTAATCAGTCTAGCATCATCCTCGGTGGCATGCTCCGTATCTAATAGCCGACTAGCAGAATCAATAATGAAGCCTTCTCTGGACATGGGAGGTCGGCCGTAGGCGATGGAAAAATGATGGTCGCAGACGTAGACAAGATAGTAAAGTCGAGCTTGGAGATAACCTTCGCGATCACCCTTTACAGCTTTGTAGATTCCACTATGGAGATTAATGTCTGATGCAGTGCGTACAGCTGGCTTTGTTAGCATTAAACAGAACAACGTATTTCGGTCACATACCATTTCCAATCAATGCCCAAGAAAGCTCATGTAGCCAAAATGCACCAACACACAGACCACGGATGTCGTCCTCGTTCACATTTCTTGAGAACATCTGTGCCGCGACAAGTGACTTATACTCACTATAGCACGCTTCAAAGAGGTGACCGAGAGATTGAGAATGTAACGCTCCCACTGAGCAAACTGCCGCCGTCAACAATGGCGATGCAATGCGGACTGAGTCCAAACTGATATGATCTCCCAGAATGCGATAGAGAAAATGATCCAGTCTGAGATGATATGTCTCAAACAGTGCCAATGCCTGGCGTAGTGAGACTAATCCCATGGATATAAGGTCTGGACGACGGGAAGTTGCCATGGTATTTGGCAAACCTGCTTTCCCGCTTTCTGAGACGCAAGATGCCGGAATAGAAGCAGGGCCACCACGGGGGTCCATGATCACTTCCCATGTTTGTTGCGGCTCACGATCCTCTGCTGAATCCCGTCGCTGACTTAAAGAAGGATCCTGATTGACAACCTCCCTGGCTGGGCTTATAGGTTGGTCCTCAGGTTCAGGGCCAGCTTGCAAAGCTTGCAACTCGGGCATCCCAACTCTGGTTGCGATGCTTGCAACTGCCTCCTCAAGCCGCCGCATCTTCTGTACGACTGCGCCCTTCCACCTTTGGTCTGTTAGTAACATGTACTACTAACGGACTCAAGGAACTTACGTGACATCCTCTTCTAGTAATGTCTGCAGGCTTCTGTTGACACTGCATGAGAGACCTCTCTTCTTGCAGCGTGAGCAAGGCATTTGACCCTCTCGCATATGACATTTCACCTGTCAATCTCATCAGTCACTGTGTTGGTATTTTTGAAGATAAGACTCACCTTTTGCTTTCGGCACGCAACACAGGCAGTGATCTTGCGGGTAATATCTGGTGGCTTACGATCACCGAATGATTCTCGCAAGGCACTCACGGCCGGCGGGGACGGTAATTCAATATCCATGATAGTTGATGCTATGATGCGGCAGAACGCTATCACTGATCGTTGAAACCGATATCGAATTTGCAATGTTTGCACCTGTCCTCTATCAGACCAATGAGACCAATGAGGAGTTCAAATTATAGACACACCAATCAGCGCAAAAACAAAGAACATGACTTGAAGAGACGGACTTCGCACCGCAGATATATCCCCCGGGCGGAGACTCGGCGGAGACTCTCGGGAGGGTCCGGGCGGCATGTGCGCCAATGGCTGGCCTTTCCATGGCACGTTTTCTATACCCCGTGGTGGCTTTCACGTCGTTCATTGCATCTTGATCTTTGCCTTTAAATGTTACACTTATTCATTGACAGGTGAAAGTTCGGTTCTTCTCGCCGATATGCCAATGCTAGGAGCAACTGTGATTCCAAGCATTTGATGACGGAGAAGTATATATCTTAATGAAGAAAAGTCAGATATGCTTCATTGTTCCATTGTGTTCGCCGTGAAGTAGAGTGACATTGCATCGTTGGACACTTTATTCTCCCTGCAATTCTTGTTGTACATTTTATTTGCTTCAATGGCCTCTCTAGGTGCCAAATTGAGGTTCGTCCTCACTGCGGGTGTTGGATTCTTCGCAGATGGCTATCTTAATCTCACAATTGGACTCGGTGAGCGATTCAACTTATATTTCCAAAATGGTAAAGTTCCAGCAGTTGACAGCGACATCATCAAAGGTGGCCTAAACCTGGGCATGGTTGCTGGGCAGCTTTTGTCCGGAGTCTTGAGTGATGTACTGGGCCGTCACACTATATACGGCAAAGAGTTGCTCCTCACTATATTCGGAACTTTGATGGTGATTCTACTGCCTTGGAAAGGCATGTCAGTCCAGTCTGTCACTGCTTGGGTAGCCGTGTTTCGTGTTCTGACCGGTGCTGGAATCGGTGCTGGTAAGCTATATCTCAAGGTATTAACAGGAAAGGACTAATTCGTGAAAGACTATCCGTTATCTTCATCTCTGTCCGCAGAAAAGTCACCATTTGGCTCCCGTGCCGTGCAGGTGTTGACGGTGTTCTCGAACATTGGCCTAGGCAACATTGCAGCGAGCATTGTGTTCCTTGTACTTCTCAAGGCATTTGAAGGGTCTATGGCTAATGACTTGAGCCATCTTGAATGGGTGTGGCGACTGCTATTGGGAATTGGAATTATTCTGCATTATTCACTCTCTACGCTCGCTTGACAATTTCAGAGACTGTCCCCTATAAGCAATGTGAGAGAGCCTGGGATATCTTTGCTTTACATGTATTAACATGATACAGATGTCTGTGACGATGCTGCCGGACAAAGACATGGATTTACAGAACAGTGGAAGGATTTTCGCGAATACTTCAATGAACTCCGCCATGCAAAAGTGCTTTTTGCAACGGCTGCTTCCTGGTTCTTATTGTAAGTTATATATTAGCCTTATACCTTTACATTGGCTTACATTACACAAAGTGACATCGCATACTACGGTATCAATCTCAACCAAAGCATCATTCTGGCAAGGATCGGCTATGCCAAAGGCGCAACACCCTGGCAGACCCTTTACAACACCGCCGTGGGAAACATTATCATTCAGGCTGCAGGTTTCCTTCCTGGCTTCTATGTCGGTATCTTCCTCCCAGATCGCATCGGCAGGGTTCGTCAACAGTTCTACACATGTATCATTGTGTGTATTCTCTATGCCATCTGGGCAGGGATTAGCACACAAAGCGCACATACCCCCACAGCCGGTTTGATGGTCATATTCGCGCTCTCGCAATTCTTGTTGACCGTTGGTCCCAACTGCACGACTTTTCTAATCCCCGCCGAGGTGTTCCCGACTCGTGTTCGAGGCACAGCACATGGCATATCAGCCGCTGCCGGAAAATGTGGTGCAATTCTTACTGCGTTTGCCTTTGGAACTGTTGAAGATGCGATCAGTCTGGAGGGTGTTCTTGGTCTTTTCTCCGGTGTCATGCTTCTCACTGCCCTTGTGACACTTATGATACCGGAGAGCAAGAATCATACCCTTGATGGTATCGAAAGAGGTGAGCTTTATGGTGAAAGAGCAGCTGTTGCAGAGTTATCATCATCTGAGAATGTTGCATATTTCAACGACAACGGTCCGAAGGTCTAGGCTATATCTGTATGTACGATGAGACCTCGAGAAATTCTTTCATGTATACCACTGTTATAAATAGTGTAGCTTGGAGGTCCTGGTCTATACTTAGGCAATGATCCGTTGAGCTGTCTCTTATATTTAGCCCGCAGTGTTATGTCGATCTGACGTAGATAGGCGCCGGTCCCCTAACTGTGTTTTTTATTGCCTGGTATATGCTCTTGCGCGTGACAGCAAAGAGCATAGCGGGCGTGATTTAGCTTATATGACTTTCACCTTAGCCAGCAAATCGGCCGTGCCATTCCTAAGCACTGAGATATAGCGTAGCTACCACAAATTCCAAACCCGGACTTACGGTTTGCTTTCTCCCCTTGAACAAATTCTCCTACACTCTACACGCGTATATGCGTTTTCACGGCCGTAGCTGACACCCCGAATGTTAACCTGTCTAATCCACCTAGCCCCTAATACTTTCACAAAACATACGCTCTCTATAGATTTTAGTACGTTCTCAGCCCGTTCGTTCGCGTGGCCGACTAACTCAAACAGTCCTACCCGAGAAATAACCTCCTATGATGTTCATAAACACACCTCACCCAGAAAACACCTTCCCTCGAACCCTTTTTATTGCTATCACTATCATAATCACTTTGTCTCCTATAATAACCTCGTATAGGGTAAAATCTATGTTCCTAAGCATTATCGCTTCTTAAATATTGCCTCGCCCTTAACTTTAACTCGTCTCTAGCAATAAAGGACAACATCCGACAACTGCTGCCGACTTTTGCAACACTGCCCTCCCCCAAAAGCCGCAACACTTGTTCCCAATATGTTCATACGTGGTCATGATTTTGGAGAAAAATCTGGTCGTATTGTTGTGTCAATTCATAAACATCGTATTAGCAGGATTCTGTTTACGCCCGGAATCCCGCACATCCGGAATTGGCTTTTTCTGATTCCGGCGTTAGGGACTGGCTAATCAATCATACGTCAGTAGTACTTGTTCAACCAAGATGAATTGCCGGTGAGAAAGAGAAACCTGGCCGGCGTTTGTTAGACGGTATCGAATCGGGGATTCTCTAGGTCAACTGGAGAGAGAATTGGAGTACATAAATGGAAGCATTCGGATCTAGAGAGTATGCGTGGAATATGCTAGTGCTAGGAGTCTAGAAGGTCAACCTCTAGAAAGTATTGATCCGCAGTACAGGAGAGTGGTGCTAGTACTGATATACCGTACTTACAATACCATACAATGTTTCGGGCATTTGAAGACACTGGTCTAACTGCGTAAGTGTATGCGTAATTATAAAACCAGGCATCCGTCCATACTCGACTGTCACAAATTGTTTTCTTGCGCCTCAACCCTCATCATGAACACCACGCTAGAACAGATCCTTGATATCGAAGATGCTCTCGTTTCAGACAAGAATCCAGTGCGCGATGAGGATACACTCGATTTTCAACGCTGCGCCAGATTGCAAAACTACCTCGTCGCATATGCCTACATGGCCCGCAATGGAACAAATACGCCCGATCTCGACGCCCTAGCCAGCGAGTCATGGTTCTTCAACCAGCCGAACGAGAATATTGACGCCGTTCGCGCTCGGCTTGACCCATCATTAAACTCATTCCTTGATTCAATCTATGATCTGACGCCGGGATTCTTCTACTGGGTGAGCAGTCTCCGAATGGAACTTGCCGACGAGTATTTCCCCCTTGAAGACAACGATTTCGAGGATAAAGAGCGGTTTGTGGTCATTTACCACACAACTCCCGACCTAGGCTCCCACTGTCTTGGTGTTCTCTACGACCAGCTGAACCATCGTGCCTCATTCCCATTGACCATCGAGAATTCAGAAAGTATCGAGCCTGTTGCTGAACATTGGGATATGTGGTTTCCTCTAGAGACGATTCTTACCCAATGGATCCATATGCTCCGAATGGGAAAAATCACGGCCGATCCACGGAACGAGAGAGACTTGTCCGATGAAGAAGCGAATTCGCGACATCAAATTGGATTATGGTGTTGGCACCCATACTGCGCTGCTCAGATTGATAGTACGGTTGCTGCGATGGACCGCTACACAGACGCGATCGAATCACGCATGCAGTCTCTTTTGCCAATATCCCGGAATGCACCATTTTTTACTGATGCAGAGCTCGATGCGGCTTTAGTGCCAAAGGAGTGCTTTATTCGGTCTTTTCTGACCCGAGCGAGGACCCCACGTTTTAAGCTAATCGCCCCCGGCCTGGAGGTTCCGCACGACAAGGAAGCCTTCACAGCGCGTCAGATGTTTAACGCGGAAGGTCAGGGCAGGGATGTGCCGTCATTCCTACTCTTTGCATCTGCGGATGATAGCCGCACGATCAGTTTCAACGAAGAAATTCATCGTTTGTTCTTTGGATCGAGAAATGATGTGCCATTCAACGAAGGTGATCCTGTTCCCACAGGATTATATAGTGCAACGGTCAATCGATTCGAATACGATTCTGAAGAAACTGGATTCCGCCTTCTACTCCCATTCGCACTACGACCGAATCTTGCCGACGAGGATGGAGCTAGGCGGAGTGATGGAACTCTAGTGTCATCTGGCTCATTCACGCAGCTTTTCCAGCATGGCATTTTTCACCCGTTTGGCGGAGAGCACCGGGCGCAGAGATTGGAGAGGCTGTTTGATCGATGGACTGAATTGATCGAAAGTGGTGTGGGGGCAGTGGGCGAAAATGGCGTTGAGGGAGGGATCGATATGTTCCAGGATGCAGATCATGGCGCCTGGGAGGATTACTAGATTCCCCCGTCCTGGTGAGATTTGATTGAATTATTTAGGAAAGAGAAGTGCATGAAGAAGGACAAGCAACATCAATGGATTTCAAGTATCAATGCATCTCCTACGTACAAGCACCACTATAACAGTTCGAACCTGAGCAATAAGCAGTGGAGTTGCAACAATATTCACTTACAGAGCCACAATCTCAGAACAAGGACCCCGGACATGTCACGTTGCCTAAGAAATTAGGACCACACTCACCATTAGTGAAAGTATACCCTGATGTCAAACAGGCGCTATACGAGCCACTTTGTTCGATCAGGGCTGAGCCTTTGAGAGAATGGAGACCAGGTCTTTTCTTTGATCCTGATGTTAACATTCACACAGCCCATAATGGCATACAAAGAGACAGATGAAAGCCATACACAATAGGGATTGTCGACTAAACACAAAGGAAAAAAGAACCCCTTTCGAGCTTGGGTTACCATTGTTTTCAAGAGCTGGGGGCAAGGTCAACTTTCATATAAAAGGGCTATCCGGAACATGCTGTTCATCGGAAATCACCCAAGCCTTCCAAGTCAATCCTCTCCCCCAATTTGCAAAAACAATTCCTTCGACTCCAGGATTCAGAGATCTCTGACACTAGTTGACAATGGAGAGTTCACCTAGTCCACTTAGCGCTGACCCGTGGAAGACTGCCGATCCATACTACCCTGCAACAAAAGAAGCGGTACATGCAGCAGAAAGTGAAGTACAGGCTTCCTTCCGGTTCATAGTCCGCAGAGAGTCTCAAGCCGAGCCCAGTGCATCGCATGTCATCAATACATGGGTCAATACCTCCTACCTAGTCTTGGCAGTATGCGTTGCTCTCGCAGATGATGGTGTCGATCAAGAATGGACTGCAAAGTTTGAGAGATGGCGACCGATATGGGAAAAAGTCCAAGTTGACGTGAAATACTTTGAAGAAGGTCCTAGCCAATTCTCTTTAAACAAATTCTTTTTGAAGATTCCCGCTCCGCCCATTTACAGAGTCCTAGTCCAGCAATTTGATGGCCCCAAGTTCTTTCCGCTTCGTGCTGCTCACGTTCTTGCACATTGTACTGGGTGTCGCCGCTGTCATGGAGATGGACATCATCACGAAGATATGTGGGGTCTCTGGCGATACATTTACAAAGCGCCTGTGGATAGGCCGCTTATTTTCTGTGTCACTTTGCAGAAGAATGAAAGTGTCAACTCGGTGAGGTTTGAGGATAATTCGGAGGTATCTCTGAGACAATGGCAGCCCCCAAGATAAAGGAGTTCCCTAAGACAGAGGAGGCCCCTAAGCCACTGGAGGCCAGCAGTACAGAGGAGTCCCAAGGCAAAGGAGCCCCTTAAGAAAGAGGAGGCCCCTAAGACAGAGGCAGTTCCCAGAACGGAGGTGATTACCGAGACAGAAATAACTTCCGAAATCAAAGCAACCCCGATTCCCAGACAAGTCTTGAAACTGAAGGGGTTTCTAAAATGCAAGTAAGTCCTTTCTCTTCTCTTTTCTTTTCCTTTTGTTGTATCTCTCTTTTGGTCTTAAGCAGCCTGAACTCTGAATCCTGAATTTTGATATAGATATAATGAAAATTCCTTCCAAGGAGCACAAACTGACCGTGGGTAAAATAAACTTCATTTGTCCAGCCCCCATTATGGCACGGGAATAGCTAACATCTACTAGTTCTCATGCTTTTCCACTATCGCCGCAGGTCCAACATATTCCTTCCGTCCTTTAATCACGTACATTCCCAAGCTCAGTATAAAAACTGCACCAAATATAACCACGCTCCAGTTGAAATTGTCCAGAGTTACTGCAACATCGCCTGGCCAAAATGACCAGAATAACGCAAAAAGGGAATAAAATAGAGCGATAACATTAACGGGCAAACCCCATCGTCCCATATCCCAGCGACGAAGTGGAAGTGTTTCGGGATGCCGGATCTTTCGATAGATGACACAGCTGATTGAAATGATGTATGTATACATTAGTGCAGCGACATTCACGGATATAATAGCGTTGAACGCAGTGTCAGATCCAATATTAATGAGAGAAAGCGCACAGCTGATAATGCAGGATAGAGCAATGGCATTCACGGGAATCTGGCGCTTGGGGTCAACCTTGCCAATCCAGCGAGAAAATGGTAGACCGTTGTCTCGAGCAAAGGCAAAGGTTTGACGGGAGGTGGAGGCATTGAAGAGAATGTTGCTGAAGATAACAGGCAGTAATATAATCGCCGTCAAACCATTCACTCCAGCTGTAGAAGTTGCGTTTTTGAAAACGTAGAGGAATGGGAACCCGGTAATGTCATCCAATGAATCTTTCACAGACGGATTAGCGAAGAGGAAAGTAATGAGCAAAACGGTGGCCATGATGCCATTGCTAAAGTAGCCCCAAGCAATAGCGATGGGCACATTCCTCGCAGCGTCTTTGACTTCTTCTGACATATGGGCGCATGCATCAGAACCTAAAGTATTTGTTAATATGCTTTTAATGTAGCAAAATGCGCGGCACGTACTCAAGGAGCCATAAATAGCTGAAATTTGTCCAATCATCACACTTAGTCCCATAGTCGACCAGCCGCCCATGTTCTCCCACCCTGTAACAAAAACAGCTTCTGCGGATTGACGAGGTGCCATAGCCCAAAGAACTATCAATATCACTGCCCAAGACAGCACATGAAGAATCATCAAGAGATTGCTCAGAACTGGCATCACATCGGCTCCGTACACATTGAAGATGTATATGACCAAGACCATGGCAAATACAAAAAGTGTGCCTTGCCAGCCCTGTGGCTCATAAGTTGGATCTCGGACACTGATCAGACCCTGTATGATGGTTCCAGTTAGGAAGGATCCAGAAGCTGCACCAGCTTGCCATGCTAACACTGACATCCAGCCTGTGTAAAAGAAATATACATGTTAACAAAAAACACCGTAGTCATCGCATGCCAGGGGTAATACCTGTGATATAACTTAGAAATTTTTGATGTCGAGGCGAAGAAAACTCAGAGACCCAATGATATTGTCCGCCAGAAGTTGGTGCCATCGAGGCCATTTCAGATAGTGAGGCAATAATGAAACCGAAGCCTATGAAAGTCCATAAATAGGACCAAAACATGCCAGGTAACCCTCCATTTGACAACCCCTCTGTGTTCGAGCTAGTCAAACCTGTCAGCCATACTTTCTTTAACTCTTTGAAGCGTCTCTATACCCACATTAAAATAAACTCCCATGTTGCCTGCAAAACAGAAGCAAAACTTAGAGCAGCCACGGGTCGTAAGTTCCTCTATTTTGGTATGTGAGATAGATAATCCTTGTATTGTAGTCATGCGGTCGTACCTTTAGTTCTTGGACCTTTCCCATCCGGTGCATATCACTGTTATCCAATGCAGTCCCAGCGTTTTGGTTTTGAGGGACATTTTGACCGACGGTCTGCAGCTCCATGTCCAAGGCTTCCAGCCCCGGGGCTTTTGTAGAGACCATGACAATAAAACTGTGAGCGACCAGATAAAAAGAGGACCAAAAAGAGAAGAGAAATTCAAGTAGACATGGAGGGGCAAAGATGATGAGTTATGAAAAGTTTACATATTAAGCTCGCTCCAAGACGCGCCCGCATGTCTCTGTATCCACTAGGTTACGCCCCAGGATTCCCCTCTTTGAGCGATCCGCTCGCATGATACACTTCATCGGCTTTTGCGGCCCCCTTCGAGGGCTGGATTTGATATCATTAAGATGTACAGCATTTGGTAGATGAACATTGTTACTTTTGCTTAGTTATGATCCAGAAAAGAGTGTGGGAGAGAGAGCAAAAATGCATGGCGCGATAGCCACGCCAAGCTAGGTATTACAGGAATGTGTAACGCCTTGATGAGCTGCATGGGCTGATCCTTTGCGCGATGACCGATGTGGAGGTACCCTGCCTTGCGGCTGGCTTCTCCACCGCCCTATAGATCGCCGCGGATATGCCCGCCATTTAGATTTAGTAAATTAACATCTTGAATAAATGGAGAGAAAACTAATTCTTCACTATTAAACACTTTCCCCAACGGTTGCCTACACCTGGGCAAAGGGGTAAGGCAAAGCTGACCTAGGGCCCCTGCGCGATCGCCGCATACCCCTCTCATTCTTGACGCAGCTCCATGTGAAAATAGTAATTTGATTAGCGATCCTAACTAACCCCATTGGCCAGCCCACCTACATGGGAGAATATGTGCAGATTTCTATTTCTGCCTGCCTGATCGTTCTAGAAGCCTGATGTTCTGAAGTTTGGGGCTGACAGCGTTGCAGAGAACAAAACATGAAGCGGCCCCCTTTGCCTTAAACGCCTCCTACTTGGTGTCCATATGTATCGAGATATCCTGTCGGGGGATTGTGGAAGTTTCAGACAGCTAGATAGCTTGTCATGGCTTCTCCAACAGCCTATCCTCCCGGCGTGAGTCCACCTCTCACGACGGACAATGAGAATGACCACAGCGGGTTGATTGTGATAATCACTGCTCTTTTTTTAGTTTTTGTTTTGATTTCTGTCGCGGCGCGGGCTTTTTCCTCATACAAAAGGCATCTTATTCAGCGTGATGATTATTTTTTTGGCGCACTCGTGGTAGGTCACGACTAATGCCTTGGAGATGCCATATTTGCCATCTAACGTGGGCTTGCTTTTAAATAGGCCGTGGCAATATGCCACGCATCTCTTGTTATGACACAGGTTCATTATGGCTGGGGTATTCGAAAAGAGTCTGCCGCGACCACAGACAGTCGCATGCTCAAGGTAAATGCCATGTGGAATTACCTTGAAGTATTCCAACATTAACAACAGCCAAGATAGGGTATGCGGCGGAAATTCTCGCTATTGTTGTTTTGGGTCTCTCGAAGATCACCACCTGCATTTTCTATGGGACATTATTCTCCCAGATGCAGCATCGGTCCAACCGCATCGCGTTCGCAGGAATGATAATATGGATGGTTATGGCTATGCTTCTACTGGCAATTCGCTGTAGTCATGACCCATGGTATGATATCAGTGCAAATCAGTGTGGAAGTCTGGTAAGTGATTCTGAGAGGACCATACGTATATTTGCTCTGAACTGAATGCCTTCAGCTTTCGCGCTGGGAGGTTATTACAACGATCGATATCTTCACTGAAGTCGCTCTCTTCTTATATTCCGGACTGGCAATCTACAAAGTTAAAATACCAACAAAGAAGAAACTAATAGTTTTTCTAGCTCTCGAGAGTCGAGTAATGTGAGTTCGCGTCCAACGCTGGACTCTCGTCCTGTGAGCTGACCCGAGCGTTTTAGACTCGTCCCACTCGCAGCGATTCGCTTTTACTTCACCAAACGACAAATCGATTCCAAGTATCCAATTCTTCTTGGAGCCTTCGCAACCATCACTACCGAAATATACCTTTCCTTCAGCGTCATCTGCCTCGTGAGCGCATTTATAAAGTCGTTCCTCGCGGTCTACGAAGACAAGAACGGGCTTGCATACACGGAGGGCGGTTCTGGGTTTGGATCTAGTTCGATCAAGCATAGCTCAACAGCAACTGCTTCCAATCCTCGGTCTCATACATCTCAGAGGTTACAGCGACTCATAGGTCGAGAGGAAGATGAAGAGCCAATGATTGATCCTGTTCAAGGATCCGGGGGACTTCAAATTGTCAAGACAGTACGGCTAAGCTTGCATAATGAATCTATAGAGCTTGCAGATCGCCGTGCGGATACGAGACCGCAGGATTATCATTGATGAGGCTTCTTGGGACTAGACCAATCAAAACTGAAATTTCGTATAAGGTTCACATTCAGTATACATGTGGCCGGAAATGTATGCTTCAGAGATCAGGGCCCTATTGTTTGCTGCCCTAGTCCATAGGCCTGTTACGTTGCTGGTCCTCATAAAGGAATATGATCACCCTTCCCTCTTCCCTAACCCACGGAACACTGACCATCCTCATCAATCATCACCAACTCATGTGCAAAGTAGACCAGATGGGCAATTATGATATATTTTATCATGAAAAAGGGCGGCACAAGATTCGGCGTATCACGCGGCCCACTTTGAGAAGTTGAAGAAGTAAGGACTTTCTCACTTTCCAACTTAGGCTGAGTGGCTTCGTTCGCTCTGTCTGTAAGTTGCACATCAATCCAAACATTCTGATGCAGCGTTGTCTCCGGATCAGTTGATGCCCTCGCCTGTGATGACTGACTGAGCTCCAAAATCAAATTTGCAACTCCCTCATGATTGTATTTCTTTGCCAAAGCAAACGGGGTCATCCCATAAAAGTTCTTTCTCCAGACCCCAGCGCCAGCAGCCACCAGCCGTCGAACTGCACCTTCGTTGCCATATGAAGCGGCAAGATGAAGCATGTTGTTCAACTTGGAGCGGTCAGCAGGCAAATCAGCGCCGCGCTCAACGAGCATTGGGGATATGCTAATATTACTACTGCTGGAAAAGCTCAAAGGAGACATTCTCCGACTATCTCCAGTGTTCATGTCTGCACCAGCCTCGAGCAGGAGTGCTGCAACCTCAGGTTCGTTGTAAATCGCGGTCAGGAGCAGTGGCGTTCTTCCGTATATGTTGGGAAGGTTTAACTCTGCCCCGTGGTCTATGAGCAGTTTTTGCAATCTCTAAACTGCCGTTGGTCGCAGCATAGTGAAGAGCTGTTTCCTCTCTATCTGGATCTTTGAGATTGATTTCATCGGGAGACGCGTTAGGTAAACGTACTCGAAGCTCGTCAATGAGATCTAAGTTTGCAAGTGCCCATATGGGTCGCGGGATGTGGACTGAGATTTCCGTATCGGTGCGTGTGAGAGATCTCATAATGGTGTCACTATTAGTGTGAATTGAAATACCGGACTCGGACGCTCCGTTTGCCCTAAGTTGCTCCTTTTGCTTCCGTCGGGCTTCCCGCAGAAGGTCGATAAGAGCCGAGTTGTTCAGCTGACGAGCAACGAATATGGGGGTTCGACCATAGTTATCTTTAATGGTAGGATCGGCCCCATGTTTGGGTTGGTGAAAGATGGCATGCAGCTTTTGGCCGTGGCATGGAACCCGTTGTCAAGGAAGGTCTTGAATGTCGGCAAAAGACCTCGTTCGATGCCAGACTGCAGGTACTCCGGATCAAAGCCATCAATACAAATCACCACTGTTGGTTTTGTTGGTAGAATGTATTCCCTAGAGTGGAGCTTGAACTTTGATCGAGACTCTACAATATTGTTTAGTATTTTTTCTGATTCTCTGTTGAAGATATACTCACCAAGAAGACACTGAAAAGCCATCTCTTCATAAGCTTCCAGTGGAGGCACCACACATTTAGGCACTTTGGCAAGATCATCCCATCGCCTAACAGCGAGCTTGGCCTCGAGCAAAGGATCCTCTTGCGCCTTTCGAGCCTCTTCGGGTGTGAATCCGCCTCCCTATAACTATTAGTATTACGCAACAAAGCAGAAGGAAAACACATTACCTGAAACTTCAATGTCCTCTTACTAGTCTCACTCAACCCATCATGATATTTCTGGTCAGTAGTGACCAAGTACCGCTTCGCCATGACATGCGCCCCGACAAGCTGGCTCACCTTTTCGCTGAATCCTATTGCCGTAGATAGGCTTCTCCGAGAATCTCATGACTCTGTCGACCAATATACTGGCCGTCCGGCGTAACCATCTTGCCCATTTTTTCGGCGGCAGGGATGAACCGCCCGACATCGTGCAACAGCGCGGCGAGGACGACTTCCATGTCATGTCCGTATTCTGCCGACTGGGCGGCAAGGTGTGCGCATTGTAGCGAGTGCTCCAGTTGAGTCACTTTTTCACCTAGATAATCGCCTTGTCCTTGTTCGTGCAGGAACTTGAAAAGTGTTTTGATTGTCGCTTGAGTATGTGCCTCGACCGAGGGGAGAGGTTGCTCGCTCCGTTGAGCGGGCATTTTCAAACTCATCTCGATGGATATCTCCGCTGTACTGTTTCTTTCGAAACTTGATCCAAACGACTGCGCTACCAGTATAATATCTGCTCGTTGCCTTGTTTATATATTGCGATGTTGACAGGATCATCCATGAAAAATTCCCATATCAACCACAACTAGAAAGACATGGAAAGCAACTTCAAGGCAAGAAGTCCGTTTTTGATGGACTCTGTCTACCTTACTCGTCTTCCCATTACCCCACGTGCAATAAGTCTTCAGAAATACTTCAACTCGCGTCTATTACGTTGCCGGCACGAAGACCGTTGGTCTGTGCTGTATACTTCGGGACGAATGCCTGCGAGAAATGTCGACCTTCGGGCGCGACGCCGATCATGAATATCCACCCAAAGGCTGGTTGGGGTTAAAGCTTTTCGTGCCCAGGTTAATGGAGAAATGAGGGTCTAATTTTCCGGCTGTCGTTAAGAGAAAGACGCTATATATGGCTTGTCTCCGGCCTGTTAGGGCCCCTCTATCGCCGGTGTGCAACTTTCACTTCGAGACTCTTAGATCGCAAACTCATTTTCTTTTGATTGGACTCCTGCTTTGCACAAGCAAACATGGCGCCTCTCACTCCAGAACAAGTAGCTTCCTACCACGAAAATGGCTACCTCCTCCTCCGTGCAAGCGAACACCAACTCGTCGATCCTACAGCTCTACTCCAGTGGACAAAAGAAGTTCAAGCCTGGCCTCGCGTGAAGGGCAAGTGGATGCCCTACGATGAGATCAACATCAACGGCGAGCGCCAGCTGATGCGCACGGAAAAGTTCATCGACTACCACCCCGAGTTCAAATCGCTAGTCTGTGGCGAGAAACTAGCCGAGATTTTGAAGGCAGTCTCGGGCGATGTAAGCATATCAATGCTACCCTACCTGCAATGAGATGAGACTTCTAATCTTTGTTTCCAATCCAGGACATGCTTCTATTCAAGGACAAAATCAACTACAAGCAGCCCCAAGGCAACGGCTTCCAGGCTCACCTGGATGCACCAGCCTACGACCACATTGGCCGCATCGAGCACGTCACAGCGAACATAGCTATTGATGCCGCAACGCCCGAGAATGGTTGCTTGGAGGTCGTCCGCGGGTCCCACAAGATGGAGATCGAGTTCGCTGACGGTGGTCGGATCACGCCTGCATGGGAGGATGCGCACGAATGGACTTCCGTCCCTCTGGATATGGGCGACATGTTGATCTTCGGGTCTCATTTAGCTCATCGCTCAGCTGAAAACAAGACTGACAAGAGTCGATCGAGTCTTTATGCTACCTTCCACTCCAAGAGTGACGGTGAAGACCTGAGGGAGAGGTACTATAAGCATCGGATGGAAATGTTTCCCCCTGAGCATGGTGAGGTTTTTGCATTCACGATCGAGCCGCTTGTTGGAGAGGTTGCTAACATAGACTTTAGAACGTGTGGAGGGTAAAGATTACTCAGAAGGTTACAAGACTTACGGTTTCGCAGCACCATTTACCAAGATGCAAGATAATGCAGTTGCAACTTCCATTGTTGCTAGTTAATTTTGCAGTCGTTGTTGGTCTACTTATGAATATTTGAGGTGGACTTGATTTATATCTCGTCCCCGGGGTAATACAAGCAAGCCCCAAGCTTCTCACGAAAGCAAATTATAGCCAAAAAAATTCCTAACTCTTTTTTTCAGTGTGACCATCATAAAATTTAGCCAAAGTCCCCTCAGTATGACTGATACCCAACTCCTCATCTTATCTTGTGATATACCAAGTAGGGCACGTCGACTAGTCTTGCAATGCTCAATGATCCGCTTGGATTGCTCTGCAGCTTGCTTCTGTGGATCCAAGCAAGAAGTTACATTTCATAGTTCTTCAATTCACATACATAGAAGGCTTAGTTTCGAGTATTGATGGAAAAGGAATTGAGCTTCAGATAGGCCGTCATTCTTATACGATAAAATCCATTCCAATCCATAAATCTCGTGCTGACGTACTGTTTTTCCAGCTATTCGAGCTCACGTAGATTATACTAATGTTTCTGTCGCACTTTTAGGGTTTTAACTTATCTAGCACTGACTAATAACGTGAGTTGACGCATTTCTGGCCACAGATGACGCAAAGAACAGTTCTCAATTTGATAGGTGTAAATGAATGACATTCAGGTTGGTTGTAATTGGCTGGAGGGTATTCCATCCTGCCTTGACTCATGTCAAGATTGCCTTTGGATGCAAGGGCTTAAGTTCCAAATCTGAGTTCGGGTTCCAAATTGTAACGTTATAGTTTAAAGTTTTGTATAAAAAGTAAAAATAGACATACGTAGCTCCCTCAAAAACAACACATTATATTGAAAATGCGGAATGCAATACAAGATACCGAAAACAGCATTTCAAAATTGGTTTGAGATTTAGAGCTATTGTCTTAACTTCCATATAAATCGCATTTTGAGCATTGTGAGCTTGAGAAGGTCATATGCAAAGAAACTAAGTCTAACCTGGAAAAAGCCGTGAATATAAAGCATTTCAACGGAAAATATACAATGAATATCAAACATCAGAGCCAGCTCGTGAGACAAAGCTCAATAGTCCTGGTATGCAGGCATAACAACATCACCCACCATGATCGTCCTGCGGTCCGGGGCCTCAGAGTCAAAGCCCTCCCCTTCTTCGGGAGAGAGAGTAGAATACCTACCAAAGGAGACCTTTCCATTAAAATTCCGTATTTTTGAAAGCGTAGAGAAAGGCTCATCCCGTCTGACGCCAGTAAACTGGTCGATACAGACCATCTGGCAGCGCTGGCATGCATCCAGAGCATCAAAACGAAGTTGATTAGGTCCGATGCGAAGAGATGACCAGCGATCCTCTGCATAAGGCTGCTCAACATCACCACGGTGAGCTAATCGCTCAGCGACGACAATATTACCGCGGAAGACATCGGCAGCAACAGTCTTGCTACCGCCGTGCTTTGCGTTGGCTTTGATTGTTTCGTTGAGACGATTGACAGATGAGCGCGAGACTACCAAGATCGGGGATTCATTTGATAATGTGATTGACGTTAGACCTTGTTCGCGGGGTGGTGGCGGAAGATCAAGTGGGAAGGAACCGGGCATGATGAGTTTGCGGAAGCGGTTTTGCCACGTGCTAGGGACCCGTGTCGGTCTTGAATACCGGTTCGCAGTCTGCGAGGGGAACCTCGCAAGGGTACAAGGCACGCCTAGGAAATCTGAAAAGAAGGCCGAGACAACGGGTGACGTGTATGCATGAAGGGAAACGGTGTCGCCGCAAACTTTCGCGGACTTTTTGGCCGAACTTGCGCAAAATGAGGTCGATATAACACTGGTGTCTTCCCAGCCGAGGGAGATCTCGAGGCTGACTTGATCAGATGCGGCTATTGCTCCGCAAGTGATACGGAGGACGCCTTTGTTGATGTCGATTGACGGTCGTATAAGGCACATCCTTGGGTATCTTGGGGCTGTTAGCGCTTGCAGACACTTAATTATTCATGACAAAACATACCTCTTTTGATTCAATGCTGCTCCCGTTCCTTGGTGAACCAGGCACCACTCTCTATCCCAGGCCAATCCTTCTCTTCTTACCTCCCAACGCTTTCCCTCGGGTATCTTGAAAGCACCGCAACTCTTTATTGGGAACACTGCAAGGCTCTCAACATAGAAATGAGGGGCCACAACTTCGTTTTCGTCCATAGTAGTGTCCAGAACAACGATAGGAGGATTCTTTTCCACATAAAATTCCTCGACAAAGTTGATCAACGAATCGATGTCTTTCATGTTTGTCATAGCACCGAGACTTACGCGCAGAATGCCCGTTGGTCGACCTCCTATAACATCATGGCTGTCTCCGCAACGCAATCCAGTGGAGTAGTGCCGACGGAGCTCAGGGCCAGTCCAGCCAAGGGTAGAGGCAGTTCCGCCGGGGTTACAAACTGACCCAGAGCGTAATTGAAGATTTTGAACAGTGGCCAATTTCTCGACTTCTGTCTTTGGCACAAAATCACCCTGACTATTGCGCAAGTTAAACGCGATGATCGGGCCTTGGGTGTCTGTATTTCCAAAGGTCGAGCTCGCCTGATAGATTTGACAGACAGGCATATCATTGAAATGTGTCAATGAAGAAAGTCGATCATAGACTCGCTTTGCAAGAAATCGGGTATGTGCTGAAATGTTGGCCATTGAACCGTATAGGCGTGTGTGTGTATCCAAGGCCGCGTCAAGGGCAATAATGCTGTGGAAGGGGAGAGTGCCATCTTCTAGTCTTTCATGGATTGAAGTCCCCTTCTTCGCATGCCATTGTGCCCCGGTTGCGATGACCATGTCAACTGTACCTCCACCGAAATATCTTCGTCGCTCAAACGCCCTTGCGGCGCTTTTGCGAACGATCAAAGCACCTAAGTCCGGGAACCCAAAGATTTTGTAGAAGCTAAGCGCAGTGAAGTCAGGCGCAGATGAAGCTGGGCCCAGTTCAAGTGGAGCAGTCGATACGAGGGATGCAGCATCAAGCAAAGTGAATACATTGCCTCCGCTTTCGTTAGCTGCGGATCTGATCTGCTCACACCAACGTATGGGCAGACGGCGGCCGTTCATATTGGACTGTGCAGGGTATGCGATAAGTCTAGGAATTTTTGACTGGCTGGCAGCCAGATCCGAAATACCAGTCTCCATCTCATCGTCACTTTGGAAGCACCGGTAGCCCATTTCGGCGAGTTCTCGCACTCCAATCAGACTAGTATGGGCATCGATATGATAGCCATACCAAAAGCCTCGATGGTCAGAGTCTCGTAAGGAGTCTGCAACTAGCTTTATACCAGCGGTGGCATTTGCTACAAAGACAAGATCGAACTCGTCCGGATCTGCGTTGAAGAATCGCAATACTCGGAGTCGGATATCATCTGTTCTCTGTGTGGATGTCTGGGATGACATAGAAATCGAGTGAGGATTTCCAAAGAGATTTGATGAAAGATCACGGGAATAGGCTTCGATCATAGATTTGGCATAGGGTGTTGTCCCCGCATGATCAAGATAGGTTGTTTCTGTACGATGAGGTAAATATTGTGAGCATGGGTTATATGACATGAGAAGATGGATGCTCGTACCGTTTAGTAAAGGATACTCTTGCTCTCGAATGATGTCCACATCGACCGAGTAGCCCTGGCTATACGCGGCAGAGATAGGCCTTTCAGTAGCTGACTCTGCCATGGTGGGTAGAGTCGATAGTCAAGAGTTCGAATTCGAGCTGTAGGAGTATGCCACCACAGGCGTTCCACGACTTTTTATTATGAAGGTGAAGCAGGAATGAGCCGCAGTTTGACAAATAGCGGTTTGAGGATGACCACTCCTTTCAGACAATAATACCTAACAGCGACATCAGCCCAACGTTCGGTGCGAATATGCTCCAGAAATAGAGTCCAGAAATAGACTGCATCTCTGTACAGCCGTGCAATATAAAACGGTCAGGAAGAGGGGGGGTCCTTACCACAGATAGCACAGATAACTATGGCATCGGTAAGCTCCGGCACAAGGAAATCAGCCAGTAGGTGTCTCGTTTCTTGTTTCCTCGAAAGGAACACACTGTCGGTATCTGGGAAAAGAACAAATTTGCATCGACTTCTCCATTGCCTTTATAGGTATCTTTTCGAGGTAAGTTGGGAGGAATGAAATAGATGACGGAGGTCGCCCCAGTTGAGCAAACCCCTCCGCACGTGCATTGCATACAACTCGGCTGCGGTGGCAATAGCGTCAAACATAGCGCCACCACTTCCTGTTGGTTGTTTCTAGCTGGCCCCACGCACATATCAGCCTATCCACACGGCCTGCAGGGCCCGTCACTACATGCCCACTATAGTATGTCCATGCATCAATAACACACATTTTCCTTGTCTTTTGAGAGGAGAGATTAGGATCGGGGCCGCATGTTCGCATGACCCGTGATCGATATATGAGCAAATATGTTCCCCCCGATCTTTGTGTGGACCCCTAGTCGAACAATCATGTATTTCCAGCCAGCCAAAAATGATGCATGCTCCTCTTAACATTTATCATCACGCCCTCCCAATATGCCCTGCAAAGGCAAACCTGCATGGACTTTCAGAATTCAGCTGGGGTCCAAGCACCTGCCACCTACTTAGGTAGCATCACGAAGTTGGCTTCCCCATCCAATTGGTTGCTATTGATATACTCAAAAAATGAGCCTCGGATTGGTAATCCAGTGGCTGACTTGAATAAGGACCATTGAGACGCATCCATAGCAGCTTGGCTTTCCCACAGATGGCAAGTTAAGAAAAGCGTAATCTGGTGATCATGCAAGATACCAGGAACCATGGGGTTGTTGGATAATTACAAATTACTTGCATGATTTTCTTAACTATATTGAACTATTGGTTGTTAACAAGGCTGGAACTCATTAAGTGAAACCATAAGCTCGGCTCAGCCTCGGGGCTTTTACCAGACGCAGCTCCACTGTGCCATTGTTGGTGCGTTGTTGACTGGCGGTTAATCATTTGTTGGTTTGTTGGTAGAGGCTGTTGCTTTCCGATTGTATGCATGGTGGGCTGTTGGAGGACCCTTGTCTGTTTAACTCTTACTCTTCTGGGCCTAGCGAAGAGCCCGCGTATATGCAAAGTAGTCTCTCAGATACCATTAGGCTATGAGATTGTAGGTTGTATTGTACAGATGGTGTGGATAGTATACTTCAAAAACAAAACTCCATCCCAAGCTCCTGCTATGGCTCGTACAAGTCTCTGTGCTGATGCGGCGCAGGAAGAGATCTATAAGCATTGAGAAAGCCGGTTTGAACGAACCGACCAAAAAGAGAAAGAGAAAAGAACATGGGTTGTGGGCTGTGTTGTAATTTACCGCTTGGGCCATTGCTTCCAGCCACGTCCGTGACCTCTCTGTTCAATGATATTAGCATTATCCCAATTGAGGTATGAAAGTCTAGATCGATACGAACCTGCTTCCACAAGCGGACCAACTCCGGCATTCCCTCCATCGCCTTGCGACGGTCTTCGAGCCGTGATTCCATGGTACGCTCCCATTTGTGACCCTTAACCTTCTGCCCAACACCAGTACCCTTGATAGCCAACCCACGCTCGGCCCGTCGTGTTTCCTTGTATTCGGTTGATTTTCGGCTAGGGGGGAGAAGCCCCTCGGCACCGTATTTGATGGCCAATTTCATCAGATCAGCCTGTTGCCGCAGGCCGTACCTTGGCGCTTCCCATTTACCGAATCTGAAATTCGGCATGAACGGATTGGGGTTCTTCTTGCTGGTGATGAGCAGTGCTTTCGAAGGAGTCCAGGCATTCTTCTCCAACCCAGCCGAGCCTTTGGCATCACGATCGGGTGTATATGGCGATGGCACTTCGTTGGATGTGTTTTCCCCTGATAGCTCTTCACTCAATTTGGAATAATCAGGGCGACGGATAGCGGCCGAGTGAATTTCGGGGGGATAACGAGCGAGAAAATTGCGCAAGCGCAGAGGGAGATCGGTCACGGTTTTCATGTCCTTTGGGATAACCGGCTTCATGGGAGGCATGGTGAAAACAAAAGGTGGGTTGGTCACCCGGCTGCACAGATGGTGTTGCTGGTGAGTTCTCCCGTCAAAAAGTCAAGGCCGGGTTCACGCTAAGGTTCGGAATGGTGCCTTAGGCGGACAAGTACGTTTCTGCCATAACATACAGTGGAGGTGCCTATACCGCCTTATGTGCCGCTGTCTACCTTGATGTGGCTTGAAGAATCGTATTAAATCTGGTCATGTCGGGCTTGACAGGCATACTGGCGGTGTACAATCTATTAGAGTAAGTCACATCGGTACTCATCGATGATGTTGAGAATTTTGGGAATGCGGCGAGGTTTCTGCTTTTTTTCTGCCGGCAGAATTAATCTGTATACAAAGTAGTCTCTCTCTGGATCTATTGCTTCGCTTTGACTGCTCTTGACCGCCCGCCACAGACCGCCCACTACAGACCGCCTTCCCCTTATGCCTACCCGTTTCTGCCTCTTCGCTGACCGCTTCGGGCCAGGGCCTGGGCGGAGCAGACCGCCTTCCAGGCTCCGTTAGTCATCCTGCCGCTCCCGCCTCTGGACTTTCACCTATCTCTGATTCCAGCGTCAAATTCCTTCCTTCGCAGACTCCATTGTTATCGCTCTGCCATATTGATAATCGCATTACCTTCTGGCTCATCTGCCTTTTAGCTTTCCTTTACTGCGACGATGGCGGACTACCAGTATGGCGGCTCCGAGGAAGAGAATGCGGAGCTGAGAAAGCTCGAGACTGAGCTGGTACGTGTTTTTCGCGCGCATTTTACCGGAATTTCTCGCTGATTATGGATAGGTCGATGACCCGGACAACTTTGAGACCTGGGAGAAACTGGCTCGCGCCGCCGAGGCCCTTGAAGGCGGAATCAATCGCAACTCCAACCCTCAGGCCATCACAACCATGCGCGCCGTCTACGACCGCTTCCTCGCCAAGTTCCCCCTGCTATTTGGCTACTGGAAGAAATATGCGGACCTGGAGTTCTCCATTAACGGCACCGAAGCCGCGGAAATGGTATGGATGCAACATTATCTCCCCCCCAGATTGAAGTGAAGCCGCTAACACTTCAATTCTAGGTCTACGAGCGAGGCATTGCCAGCATTTCGTCATCCGTTGATCTGTGGACTAACTTCTGCTCCTTCAAGGCGGAGACCTCCCACGATGCCGATGTGATTCGAGAGTAAGTATAACGAGCTGGCTCCCTTTCCTTTCCCTATAACCTTTACCGATGTAGCACGCGAATAATCTCGTGATGCCGGTCGTACATGACACCTGGATATTCCCCTGTCCAGCAGTTTTGATGGGTGAGACGTTGTTTTCCCACCCGGATCAAAGTGGAGTTTACTTCTCACCCATAGCTCTCCCAGGCTGCTTTTCTTTCCTACCTGACAATACCTCTTGCATTGAAAACTAAGGAGCAGTCTCCTTCGATGGCCTTCTCCGAAGCACTGGATACATTTGTTTGGGTTCTCACGGACGGACAGAGCTCATTGCTCATGTTTGATCTCGCTATTTCCTTCCCCCTTTACCGCTCCTTTCCCTCCAATCGGCCAAATGGCTCAATTTATGCGCATTATGCTAACTTTAGCCACTGAATAGGTTGTTTGAACGAGGTGCAAGCAGTGTTGGTCTTGACTTCCTGGCACACCCCTTCTGGGACAAGTACGTTGAGTTCGAGGAACGCATTGAGGCCCAGGAGAAGATCTTCGGCATTCTTGCTCGGGTTATTCACATCCCGATGCATCAGTATGCTCGCTACTTTGAGCGGTATCGTCAGCTGGCCCAGACGCGTCCCCTGGCTGAGCTTGCGCCGGCAGAAATTCTCTCGCGGTTCCGCGCCGAGATCGAGGCTGCCTCATCCGATGTTGCCCCTGGGGCCAAGGCCGAGGCCGAAATTGAGCGAGATCTCCGACTGCGCGTGGATAGCTACCACCTTGAAGTATTCACAAACACTCAAACTGAAACTACCAAGCGCTGGACCTTCGAGTCGGAAATCAAGCGTCCATACTTCCATGTCACTGAGCTTGATGAGGGCCAGTTGACAAACTGGAACAACTATCTCGATTTTGAGGAAGCTGAAGGTGCATTTGATCGCATTCAGTTCCTCTATGAGCGGGCTTTAGTGACTTGTGCTCATTATGATGAGTTCTGGCTTCGGTACGCTCGCTGGATGGCTGCTCAATCGGGCAAAGAGGAGGAAGTGCGCATCATCTACCAACGTGCGGCATATCTGTATGTTCCCATTGCCAACCCCACCGTTCGGTTGCACTATGCCTACTTCGAGGAGATGTCAGGCCGGGTGGACGTTGCGAAGGATATCCACAGCGCCATTTTGATCTCACTGCCCAATCATGTTGAGACCATCACCTCACTTGCAAACCTTTGCCGTCGTCACGGAGGTCTCGAGGCCGCAATCGAAGTCTACAAATCGCAATTGGATTCGCCAGAGTGTGATATGGCCACCAAGGCCGCTCTTGTTGCCGAATGGGCCCGTCTCTTGTGGAAGATCAAGGGCGTCCCTGACGATGCTCGCATGGTCTTTCACGAAAACCAGCAGTACTACCTCGACAGCCGACCTTTCTGGGGCAGCTATCTCATGTTCGAAATTGAGCAGCCCACTAGCGCAGCTACTGAATCGGTTCAGTACGAGCGCATTAAGCAGGTCATTTCCGACGTCCGGTCCAAGAGCACCCTCTCCGTTGACGCTGTCAAAGAACTTGTGCAGATCTACATGTCTTACCTCCTCGAGCGGGGCACGAAGGACACAGCCAAGGAATACATGACCTTGGACAGAGAAGTTCACGGGCCTGCATCGGTGGCCTTCGCTCGTACTGGGGGCACTGTGGCTGCTCCGCTTGCTCCTGCCGAGGGACACCCCGCTTCAATCCCGTTGATGCCCACTCCGAACAATGCAGCCGCAGAGCAATATGCTTATTACCAGCAAGCTGCTGTGAACGGCACCGCAGGCGCCTGAACATTCAACTCATGACTCCAGTAGCCGATGGCTGCGCACTCGAATATTTCTCTTTCACGAATGGCTTCGTCTTCAGAAGCTTTGGTCCCCTTTCCCTTGGTTACTTACTCCTCAGGCTTTGATACCAGGGTGGGTGGATCTTTTTCATGTAGCATCACCCCGTTCCCCCCGCTGTGGAGCGTCTGCCTTTCACTGTTTTGTCTAGCGATTTCGATGCCGTCAACAGGGTCAGCTACCACTTGTTTCGTCAGATGGTTAGCATTTCCCCATTGTGTCTGACGCCACCTTCATGACCCTATCAAGCCCGGGTCCCTTGTGATCCATTGTAATCTACTGGTTTGCCCTTTCAATGAAACTAATCTACGATTGTGTCCTTCCCTGTAGACAGTAAAACTAGTTCATTAAGTAATGTACTCACGTGACTGCGCGTCTGGCTATGTCATCTTCCGTAGAAATTCGAGATTCCACCGGAGCTCCGTACTTATTCTCACTAGCTGTCATTTCTGCCTCGGCTCTAGCGCATGATGGATGGAATAGTGGCCATAGACTCTGAGATATCTCCTCCACACCCTCCACCTGATCCGATTCAACGCCCGCCCAGCCCACCTCCCCCTCCTCCTGAAGACTCGGCCGCTCCTCCGCCGCCACCAGATACCGCAGCTCCTCCGCCTCCTCCAGAAGATGTACCACCCCCGCCACCCTTGGAAACAAAGAAGAAGCAGGGATGGGGCGCAAAACGCCCGGTAGCAACTCCATTGAGTGTGGAAGAGCTCATACGCAAGAAGAAAGAAGCAGAGACGGCCACGGCCAAGGTGAGTCTGCCTTCCTTCGGAGAATATACGGCGGCGCAAATGTGTCGGAGTTTTATACTAATATTTGACCCTTGTCTACAGCCCAAGTTCTTATCAAAAGCCCAACGAGAGAAACTCGCATTGGAGAAACGAGCCCAAGAGGTTGAGGCAGAGCGGCAAGCAAAGGCCCGCGCCAACGGCGGTGGCCGCAATGGATTCGCCCCGGAACCATCCTCAGCAAGGCCTCATGAGCCAAAGAACAGTCGGGATGACCAAGGGGCTAGACATGTTCCCACTGGACCACGATCAATGCGCGATGAAGCCCCGACGGGACCTGCTGCTATGCGGAAGGGAGGTAGACAGGCTCGCGATCACGACATGCCGCCACCACCCAAAGCTACCAAAGGCGAGAAGCGATTAAACGAAGAAGATTCGGCAGTAGCGCTTGCTGCGCTGACCAAACAACGATACGTGGGAGCGGAGCAGACATCGAACTTCTCGGCAAAGAAAAAGCGCAAGCGTACGACGGACCGAAAATTCAATTTTGACTGGAATACCGAAGAAGACACAAGCGGTGATTACGACCCCCTCTATCAACACCGACACGAGGCCAACTTCTTCGGCCGGGGTCGTCTGGCAGGCTTTGGCGATGATGTTGCAGATGAAGTGACGCGCAAATACGTAGAGGCCCTGGAGTCCCGCGACCAAGAAGCAGGTGGAGCGCGGGCGAAGGAGATCATGGAGATGGAACGTCGTCGGCGTGAGGACAGCACTCGTAACCAGTTGGACAAGCACTGGAGCGAGAAGCGTTTGGAACATATGCGTGAGCGTGACTGGCGTATCTTCAAGGAAGACTTCAAAATCAGCACCAAGGGCGGCAGCGTACCGAATCCTATGCGCTCATGGGAAGAAAGCTTGCTGCCAAAGCGCCTATTGGAGCTTGTCGATCGCGTCGGATACAAAGAACCATCCGCTATTCAGCGTGCAGCTATCCCAATCGCTATGCAATCGCGTGATCTTATTGGTGTCGCCGTCACAGGTTCCGGTAAAACAGCCGCATTCCTACTCCCACTTTTGGTCTATATTTCAGAGCTACCTCGACTCGACGAATTCGAATGGCGCAAGAACGATGGACCATACGCCATTGTACTGGCACCCACCCGTGAATTGGCGCAGCAGATTGAGATCGAAGCGAAGAAATTCACACAGCCACTCGGATTCAACGTTGTCAGTATTGTCGGTGGTCACTCAATCGAGGAGCAAGCCTACAGCCTGCGTGACGGAGCAGAAATCATCATCGCCACGCCCGGTCGTCTAGTAGACTTTATCGAGCGTCGCATGCTAGTTCTGAGCCAATGTTGCTACGTGATTATGGATGAGGCAGATCGCATGATCGACATGGGTTTCGAAGAACCCGTCAACAAGATCCTCGACGCCCTCCCAGTGACCAACGAAAAGCCAGATTCAGAAGAAGCCGAAGACTCACGCGCCATGAGCCAACACGTCGGCGGTCGAGACCGCTACCGCCAAACAATGATGTACACAGCAACTATGCCCCCAGCCGTCGAGCGCATCGCCCGCAAGTACCTCCGCCGCCCAGCAATCATCAACATCGGCACAGTCGGCGAAGCCGTCGATACAGTGGAGCAGCGCGTGGAGATGATCCCCGGCGAAGACAAGCGCAAGAAACGACTCAACGAAATCCTCTCATCAGGCGAGTTCCGCGCCCCGATCATCGTCTTCGTCAACATCAGGCGAAACTGCGATGCCATCGGGCGCGATATCAAAAATATGGGCTTCTCGTCGTGTACGCTACACGGTGGAAAATCCCAAGAGCAGCGTGAAGCCGCGCTCAACTCCGTCCGTAATGGTGCGACTGATGTTATGGTTGCGACGGATCTGGCGGGCAGAGGTATTGATGTGCCGGATGTGTCGCTTGTCGTGAACTTTAACATGGCCGGTTCGATCGAGGCGTATACCCATCGTATCGGTCGTACTGGTCGTGCTGGAAAGAGTGGTACTGCCATTACTTTCCTGGGTAATGAGGATACTGAGGTTATGTATGATCTCAGGCAGATGCTTATGAAATCGCCTCTCTCGCGTGTCCCTGAGGAACTGCGCAAGCATGAAGCGTCGCAGTCTAAACCTAGCAGGGGTCCTGGAGGGAAGAAAATTGAGGATAGTTCTGGGTTTGGAGGAAAAGGAGGATGGGCATAAACGTCCTGGTTATGATTTCTCTCTTTTTATTTTATCATCTTCAATTTATACCACCTCTTTATTTCCATTTGCGGTGTTTTCGGTTTTGTTTAAGGTATGGGTGGCTACTAGCGATGTTTATCAATCTATGGTTCTCATGTTCGTGAGACTTTATCCTTAGGACCTTTACAGTCCATGGCTATATTGTTTTTGAGATAGTAGAGAATTGAGTAGAGTGATTTATTCTCCTGAGCACATCCTGTGTGCTACATATGAACAGCCCGAAAGATCAAAGTACCTCCATACATGGGACTTTGTCTTTTATCGTCTTTACAGCTTGCTTTGGTTGCTGCTCAACCACTGCTTAACATCGTCACGGTCACGCTGGAGCCAGTTTACCTTGGCGCGGATAGCATCAAGACTCTGCTCAACAGCACGGTCGTAACCCTTGGTATCCTTGGACTCAAAGAATGACTGGACATCCTTCAGCTGAGCTTCGGTACAGAAGCTAGCAGTAGTGAGCTGAACAACAGTGCCGAGCATGCCCAGACCGGGAGGCAGACGCTTGTAGATTTCGTCCCAGTTGGCCTTGAGCCAGCTCCAGCGGCCCTCGATACCAGCAGGGTGGCTGCGGAGACCGCCGAGGGGCATGTAGATGTCCTGGTTCTTGACCTCGTCGTTGATGGCGAGGCCGAGAGTGCGCTGGATGAGCTCGGGGTCCTCGGCAGCACCGAGGCAACGAAGAGCGGTGGTCTTCTCGTCCGAAGTGGGGGCGTGGCGGAATCGGTCGAGGACAACCTCGTACTCCTTCAGACCACCGTGCTTGAGGACGATGGTGAAGACGCTGCCGCGAATGTTGGGGTGGATGGCGGAGACGTCGCCGGCGGAGAAGCGGGCGAACATATCCTGGGCAGCCTTGACAACGACGGGGTCCTCGGCCATACCGGCGGAGCCGAACATGAGGGCCTTGAACTGCTGTAGGATGTGGTCGTCGTTCTCAGAGAACTCCCAGCCGAGCTCATGGGCCTTAGGGGCAACCAGCGAACGCTGGAAAGCCTTGAGGGCATCCTTGGTCTGGCTGTCCTCGAAGAGCCAGGCAGCACGCAGGGTGCCAATACGGGTCAAGATCTCGTTCCAGACGACGAACTCGGACTCGGTGTCGAGACCCTGGAGCAAGGAGAGGAGGCCGGAGGTGCGCTGGAATCCAGAAGCGGCCAGAGCACCGGAGTCAGCAATCATACCGGCACGGTCCTCAACGGTCAGACGGCCATCGCGAGCGGCCTCGCCAAGCTTCTTGAGACGCTCGGGGGAGTATGAGGTACGGTAGATACCCGAGTGATCGGCGTTGAGCTTGAAGAAGTCAAGATCAGGAACGGGGAATTCACCCTCACGTCCAGTGAGCATGGTGTTCTCATCAATGCCCTTCTCGGTGCGCAAGCCAAGCATAACGGGGAAGAGAGTCTGATCCTCCTCGGGACGAACATCACCAGTACGGAGGAAACGGTTCTGCTTGAGGTGAATCGAAGACTTCTCCTTGTTCTCAGTGACGCTGACAACGGGGAAACCGACGTTCTTGGTCCAGATGTCCATAACAGACTTAACGGGCTTGCCACTGGCATCACCCAGAGCAGCCCAGAGATCACCAGTCTCGGTGTTACCGTAGGCGTGCTTCTTGATGTAGTTGCGAACGCCCTGGAGGAACACATCCTCGCCGAGGTACTTGGAGATCATGCGGAGGACGGAAGAGCCCTTGGAGTAGGAAATAGCGTCGAAGATCTGGTTAATCTCGTCAGCGCGCTTGACAGGCACCTCGATAGGGTGACTGCTGCGGAGCGAGTCAAGAGACAGAGCGCCCTGCAGGTTGTCAATGACGTAGGTCTGCCAGACCTTCCACTCGGGGTAGAAGACATTGCAAGAGTACCACGACATCCAGGTAGCGAAACCCTCGTTGAGCCAGAGGCCATCCCAGAAGTCCATGGTAACCAGGTTACCGAACCACTGGTGAGCCAATTCGTGCTGGACAGTCTCAGCAATGCGCTCCTTTCGGGACGCACCGCTGGTCTTCTCATCGTACAGCACATCAACAATACGGTAAGTAATCAGACCCCAGTTCTCCATAGCTCCGGCGCTGAAGTCGGGCACGGCAACCATGTCCATCTTAGGCAGAGGGAAGTCACTGTCGAATGCCTTCTCATAGAAAGCCAGAGTCTTGGCAGCAAGCTCCAAGGAGAAACGACCGTGCTCAATATCCTGATCAGGAGTGGCGTACACGCGGATGGGAACGCGGAAGTTCTTGGTCTCAATGTAGTTAAGGTGGCCGACAATGAAGGCAACGAGGTAGGTCGACATGAGGGGCGAAGTGGTGAATTTCACAGCCTTCTTCGCACCACCCTGGACATCGGTCTCAGACTCAACGTCCATGTTGCTCAAGCAGGTCATGCTCTTATCAGCAACCAGAGTCACGGTGAACTTGGCCTTAAGAGCGGGCTCGTCGAAACAAGGGAAGGCCCGACGGGCGTCCGTTGGTTCCATCTGCGTCGACGCAATATACTTGGTCTCGCCATTCTTGTCCTTGTACGATGACCGGTAGAATCCAGCCATGTTATCGTTCAAGGTACCGGTGAAGGTAAGCTTGAGTTGAGCATCCGAACCCGCAGCGATGGCCTGACCGAACTTAATAGTCGCAACCTGTTGATCCTTGTTATAGGAGATCTCAGGCTTGGAATCTACCACCGACCCCTTAGCTGAGACCACTGCGCTGTGAATGTCAATCTCGTTGGTGTTGAGGGAGACGAAATCGGTATCTTCGGCGACTTCTAGGCTATAGTTCATACGTTAGTTGCTAGTACCATAGCTGCGCGGGTAACCCGTACTCGATAGAAACCGTTCCCTCGTATGTGAACTTCTCAAAGTTGGGCTCAAGTGTCAGATCATAGTGCACTGGCTTGACGTTGGTGGGCAGGACCTCACGGCCCTGCACGTTGGTTGACCCGGAGGCCTCGCCGCGGCGTGAGTGACACATTCTGCGGTAGGAACAGTATCGTTTGGAGGTTTGTGAGAGAGGAGTAGAGGCGCGACGAGGGATCGATCGAGCAACCGAAGCTGGAGGGGTAGGTCGAGTGGAGAGAAAGAGCGGGAGGGGAGATCTGGCAGAGAGAAGCGGTGGCTTTGCTTGCAGCAATGCACGCGAGGAGAAACGGCGCATCGGCAACGAACCCGAACCGGGGAAACAAAGAAACGAGAGTAGGGTATTAAAAATCAAATATAATATAATACACGCAATAAGCAATATGAGAACAATTGAACCACGGACTCGAGAACAATGGGATGAGAGGAAAAAGATGAGATCACGGCAGTTCCTGGGCGGTGAGGGCCCCTGTGATTTGCATCTTTTGTTCACTTTTTCCTCCTCCTTTTCTTTCTTCTTCAACTACGCAACTTCACCCGGTGTATGCCCCAATTTACTATGGCAGACAACTTGGAACAGCATTTATGCTGTTATCATTGCAAGACAGTACACCAGCAAGTTTGAGGGGCTCATGACGGCGTTCTACGCTCTTGGATGGGCTTCCATAGAAGACTGGGACATCATTGACCATGGTTAGCATTGCTCTGATGTCACTATATGACAGGGCACTTGGTAATACTCAGCAGTTAAAGAGTGCTACAGGGAGAGGAATGGCTCTTGCTTCCAGGGTTAGGGTTTGTCATTCATTATTAGAACCCATCTTGGGGAATCAACATCTCAAACAAAGCAATGCATATGATATTACATCTCAATCCCAACCTAAGACCTCTCTGTTCGAGCCAATGGTAGTCGTGTAAAAACACTTTGAGACCATCCATCGGCATCAACGACAGATTCCTTGACAAGCACATATCCTCCATACCATGGCAACAACACGGCCCAAACAAGGTAGTAGATTGCACCCGCGGCAAACAGAGCCAGGGCCACGACACAGTGAAGATAATATGGAAGCTCCTCATACACATTCTGGTCTGCACTTGGGGGCACATACGGTGCGATTGCAAGATACAGGTTCGATAGCATGAAGAAGATGGTGACGGGCAAGGTGGCTCGAATCCCGGGAGCCCAGTTGGGGAACTTCTTCTCTTTGGTGATGTAGATGTAAACAAGACCGGCGGAGACGAAGAAGTTGACAATAGAGAGAGGGTATGAGATCAGACTGCAGAGGGTTAGCCGTGAGTTGTTGGTAAGGGAAGAGTGAGTTCTTACTTGACTAGGAAATTGTAGGCATCGCCTGGAGGAGGAGCAAGCATGATGATGACAGACACGATATAATGCTCAAGTAAGCCCGCTGCTGGAGAGTGGAAGGGCCAATTGCTAGCCCAGATCTTGGAGAAGGGCAATATGCCTTCACGACCAAGCTCCTGGACAACTGTTGCGAGACCTTGTTAGTATGATATACTCTTCGGACAGCAGGAAATACATACTTCGGCCTTGCGAGAATATAACGGATAACACGTTTCCAAACGCAGAAAGAGCCACAAAAACCGACATGACCTTCTCAGCCTGCTTGCCGAACATATTTCCAAAGAACACAGCAGCAACCACGCTGCCAGAGCTGAGCATTTCCTCTTTGGACACAGCGGCGAAATAGGCGATGTTAACGAGCATGTATAAAATGCCAACAGATCCAATAGCCACCGGTGCCGCAATCTTTAAGGTGCGAACTGGATTCTTCGTCTCGCTCAGGGCCTGCATAGTTGATTAGCATCATCATCATCATCACGCCAGACCCATATATACTCACATAATTAGCGTTTGAATACCCAATAAACGACCAAATAACATTATACAACGCCATCACAATGCTATACCCACTCCCCTTCGTACCAGCAAAGGCATCAGAGAAGTTATGCGGCGTGGGAGCCTTCGTATGACCAGCCAGAGCAACCCACCCAGCAACAATAATAAAGAGAATAATAATCAACTTGACAACACCAAGCAGATTCTGAAGTCGAATACCCCATTTCAGAGCAACAGCGTGGATGAGAAAAGCAGCAGTAAGACAAGCCATTCCAATTCCACGCTGATTCCATCTCCCAACCTCGATATCTGCTGCGTGGAGAATATACTCGCCGAAGACGACGCTGTTGCTAGCTGCCCAGCCTAGTAGGACCGCGTAGGCTGCGAACATGGCTGTGGCTAGGAATTTGGGTTTGGTATAGACGTATTCGAGGTAGTTCTTTTCGCCTCCGTTTCTATAGCAAGTGCATGTTAGTGGTCTACATCATATCAGGTCAGTTAGGAAAGGACCATACTTTGGAATTGCAGTTCCCCATTCCAGATACACTGCCGTGCCAGCCATGGCAATTGCAGTACCGAATACCCACATAAACAGCGAGAGACCAACACTACCCGACAAGGCAAGAATAGTGCCAGGCGTAGCGAAAATACCCGTTCCAATAACCCGGTTGAAGATTAGCAGCGATGCACTAAACACACCGAGTTGACGACGGTTCTCAGGTGATGCCTCGAAGACATTTCCTTCGTCTATATATCCAGATTAGTATAGATGCCACAGTGCAGATGCATCAGTAGGTAGAGAACATACACAATCCCGAAATCCCATCCGCACGCCTCGGTCCATCATCCCCAGCCAACTTTATATCAGTCACAGGCGATTTATGCGAGCCAGCCTCGACAATGGCATCAGTCGATCCAGCCATTGCGGCGCACTCTAATTCAACTGGAGAGAGAGGGTTGTTGGAACGGAGTACCAGTGCAGTAGATGGGAAGAAGAAAACACCGTTCCACGTGGCAGATTTTTCCAACTACTTATATACAACATGACCATGCGCACTGGTGATGTATATATTGTATGTTGTATGACCGTAGATCGGTTACCAGCGGCGTGACGATGAGGTGCTGGCACTAAATCTGATGCAATAGCCTCGTGCGGCTGGGCAGAGTCTTGGATGCTACCCTGGAAATTGAATAGTAGGCATTTGTATAGCATCACCGCCGCATAGTGGGCCCGGTGAGAGTTTTTTTTTTTGTGGCTTTTGCCTTTCCTGGTTTTGATCTTAGCTCTTCTTGGAAGGGTTCGAGAAGCCATGGTCTTTGATGCTGCGCCGGGCACACCATTGTCTGGCCGGGCCGAATGTCTTTTATAGGGTCACATGTTTTCGAAGATGCGTTGGCTTATTGTATGCATTAAAGAATAGGGACGTAATTATTTCAGCTTCTGTTACGAGAACCTCAGCTCACATGGCGCAATCTGAGGCAAGAAAAAAAGAAAATTACGGAGTCGCAGTTGCCGCATGCAGGGTGCAGGGCCGAGAATATATAGCCAAGCCGAAGGCTCGCATTCCAGAACCTATTAGTGGCCGAGGTTAATGTGGTCAGGCAGTCAGTCTATGTGGCATCTGTAGTTTGTCCACAAGGAGACATATTTGAATCAGCTGATCAGAGTGTTTTAAGAATCACGCATACCGCCAGAGAATATCATTATATTCATCTAGTTGCGAGAAAAGACCAAGAGACCAAGAGACCAAGAAAAGAGCACACAGATGAACCGATCACGCCATCGGTAGGGTTTGGTCGATGCCAAGCACTGTCACCTTCAAACCCTGGAACTTACCGAGAGACTAGATTGTATACTTGTAAACAGCATCTTTAGTGAGTTACCTCGATTTCTCTATGTACAATACATCCCAAGCAGAATCTGCATTGCATGCGCAAACCAGATCTTCCCCAAACGCCCTGACCTTATCCAATATCCCAAACCAAAAATCAAGTGCCAATCTGTATACCGTGGGTCCCCAGGTCAAACGCCAATCCGTGAACGAGATACAGAGAAAGAGAGAGAGAGAGAGAGAGAGAAGAGGGAGGGAGGGAGGGAGGGAGAAGTGGGAGATAAAGGGGAAATGGAAAAAAAGGTAAGACAGGGAACAAACTGAACTCCCTGGCCTCGTGCTGTGGGATATATGGCAAAACGTAAGCGTAAAACGTGATAGATGACAACAATAAAAAGAGAAAAATATGAACGAAGAAATTAGGATCTCCGTAGAGATGTAAATAGCATCATAAATGGAGGAAGCTAGCCTCAAGCTAGCTTATATATAACCGGTGAAAGAAAGGCGAGCAGGAAGAGGCATCGCATCGCCTTGATGGTGGAAGGACAATCGTTCACGCGTAGCTCAAAATCTTCTAGGCTAAACAGGGCCAGAAATATGAAACCACGCGTGAAGATTGGTAAAGGTGTCAAATTCTCAATAGATTTCAAGAACAGATGTTCACCTAGGTGGTGTTACACCTGTTGTAGGCGACACAGGTACGATGTTAGAAGGGGGCATCTTCCCCGCACTACCCACTGGCGTCGAAGATGATGACCGCTTGGACAAGGCGGCAACCTTCTTCCGCACAGATGCGAGGCGGCCACGCATACTGGAGACGACTGTGTATATGGGTTAGCTTGGAACAGGGTGGTAGAATACATGGAGTAGATTACTTACGTTTGACGACGACCTGCCGATCCTCGACCATAAGGTCATCCAATATCACCTTGTCGCTCCGCTGGGAACTGCTCTGGCGGTCACTGGCACTGCCGGACCTGGGTCGTGTCCCATCGTCCTCGAGGACAGCTTCGAGCATTCGAATGGCGGTGACGTATGTAATCTCACAGTTGGCGAGATCCTCGCCCGTCAACTCGTTGATGGCTGCAGCCCGACTCATCTCGAGGGCACGGTCGTACATAAGTCTCTCAGCTGTGACACCGGCGCTCACCACAACGTCTGCGGTTGAGCCTGAGCCTGCGCTAGAACCAATGGAATGGTTGTTCGGGTGGTTGGGGTGATCTGGGGGCAAGCGTCTTTGACCTTCGATGAGCTTCATGCGCACAAACTCTGCCTTCTCGATCACTTCGTTGAACCGACTGCGTACCCATTGGACGACATAGTTGATCCGAGTACCGGCAACCGCACTCATATTATCTTTACTCGAAGGTGACTCGCCGTAAGCTTCCTCGCGGTTCTTGCGCGACCACCAAGCCCCAGCAATGTCCATTGACTTGGCGAGTAATGCCAAAGCCTTGACATATAGCACCAGGGCTTCCTCGGATAGTGTGACAATAGCATCGACTGTCAATCCATCATCAAATTCAGCTGAGTCAACATCGTTGTTTCCCATGGGTCTCGCAGATGGATCAGTTGGCGCTGAAGGTGCTAGCGGAACAAGCTGCTTGTATTTGACTTCGGCAAATCCAAAAACCACATCACTCCGTGTGGCACATTCCTCAATAGCCTGGACAGTCTTGCAATCCTCGTCGGATGTGATATTTGTCTTTCCGCCTTCACCCATGATCATGAGACTCGCTTGTGCAGTAGGATAGGCAGGGAACGGGTTGTAAGCTAGAGGTGGAGACCGTCCACCTTTCGTGATGGCAAGCGGAGGAGAGAAACCCATCCCAAACAGACGGCCGCTGGCCATGTTGAGTGCTTTCGAGATTGCTGAGGTCGCCGATGTAGGGCTTTGTCCATAGCGTCGCTCGTAAGAATGCTGGCGCTGGTGCGTTGAATCTGCTCGGGCACGATTTGAGACAACCTGCATGGCTTTGGCCGCGTTGGCATGTGGAGAAGATGGCGACACTGTTGGTAGACACTGCGTTGTCGCGCGACGAGGCCCGGTACCAGTCTGTCCTGGGCGAGTAAACCCACCCTGGAGACGTGGGCTGTGAGCCAATTCATCCGCAAACGCATTGACTTCCACGGCACGCTTTTCCACAACCACGTAATCTCTTTCAAAGGCCACTTCCTGCGCAGCCCGATCCCGCTCCTCCTGAGCACGAACTGTCGATTCGCTTGCGTTGGGTGAGCCGGCATATGTGTTCCGTTGTCTTTGCCGTTCCATAGCCAATGTTGTTGCATTGCGATCAGTCAGTTCCTGGCGCCCCGGAGCAGTGGCGAGGCTGACAGGACCAGGACGTTGTGGCGGTGTGCCTCCTCGTTGCTGCTCCTTGGTAATCCCTGACAAAGGCCGATCCGAGCTTCCCACGCGACGCATGTTTGTGGCAGTGGGCGGAGTCCCTGATTTCTGATGGCCTAAAGAAGTCCGGTGATCCATGGGATATGTGACTTTCTCATCTGGCCCTGTATCATAAGGAGACTCCTCGGCCTTTGTTTCAAGCTGAGCTGGCCGCGGCGATTGAGATGGTCCCGAAGTATCAAGGGAAGGTCGTCGAGCTCCAGGAATATCATCAGCCACCAGCCCAGGAATGGGATTGTTGATCACATTGTTATTGAAGAAATCAGGGAAGTTCAACCGTTCCACCGGGTTCCGCTTCAAAAGACCCCGAATTAGCTTTTTGATGTCATCCGAGGCTGGATTCTCTTCAGGGAAGCGAATACGATCCTCGCCCTTTTCAATCTTCCGTAGCAGTTCTACATGGTTAGTGGCCCGGAACGGAGGTCGGCCAACCACCATCTCGTAGAGCACTGTGCCTACAGACCACAAATCGGCCTTCGCATCATACTTCTCATACCGAAGTATCTCAGGTGCCATGTACAGCGGGGAACCACAAAGGGTCTCCGCCAGTGAGGTAGCTGGTAGAGATCGAGCGAAGCCGAAATCCGCAATCTTGAGCATTGGTAGTGACTCGATTCCGGTTGTAGGTTCATAGGAGTCATCACTGCCCTTGTAAGGAATCACTTGTGCAGCCCCACTCCGGTAAGATGATGGCGAGGGACAAAGGAGAAGGTTTTGAGGCTTGATGTCTCGATGGATAAGGTTTCGGTCTCGAAGGAATTTGAGCGCACTTGAAAGCTGCTTAAGGAAATGCCGAGTTACCACCTCATTGAGGGAGCCGCCAGGCGGATTTGGGTATTTGGCAATCATGTCTCGCGTGTATCGATGTGTTGCAAGGGTATCCCGGCGCTTAATGAACAACGACAAGTCCCCGAGCGCGCAGTATTCCATAACCAAGTGGATGTGAGATGTCGATTCATGGCAGTCGATAAGAGCCACAATATGAGGATGATGGAGGCCTTTGAGGATGTCGATCTCGGATGAAAGGTTGTCCTTGAGCTTTTTGTTGAGCTTCGAGAGGTTCACAGACTTGATGGCTACGTAGGTTCGAGTTTTCTAGCAGATAAGAATCCATTAGCATCAGCCGTTGATGTTCATGATAAGAGATCAACACTCACTGTGTGCACGCCCTGGTAGACTGTCGCGAAGCTTCCTCTCCCGATCTCATCCAGCCGCGTATAGCGACCGATGGACATTTCTGGGCGGGAGGGGTCGCGTGAGCGCCTCGAATGCTGAGACGCCATGATTGCGGAGGGCGCCGCAGCCTCTTATGGCCGTAGAGACTCTCGCTGGGGATAATCGAGTGTGAAACACACCCCAGCAACCACAACTACCGCAGCAGCAATGAAGATGTGCAGCACTGGAAGCCCATCAGGCTTGGACGATGACGCTGCTAGTTGCCGGGAAGTCTGGAAAGATAAGGAACCGCCGGGGCAACGAGTCTGGGTAAATACTGGTTGCGGTGCCGTGGAACTGGACAGCTCGAGTTATAATTTGAAAGTATGTACGTCTAGCAAATAGAGCTAGATGAGATCCAGAAGGGGGAGGTATGTATAGGGAGAGATTCGAGTATAGGCCAGGGAGGCAAAAAGGAACTGGTCTAATGAGAGGGCAAGATGATGTGATGGGGAAAGCTGGATCCAAGGATCTCCACGATTGGGGGGCGTGACCCAACGATAACGAGTGACAGGCGGTGATGATCTAAGGCGGTCAGGAGGGCGGAGTGGACTGATTCGGGACTACAATAAAGATGAAAGGGGGTCAAGGGGGGATGTGGAGGTGATGTAGAGAATGGGATAATAGAGACGAGAAGATCAATACAAGAAATGGATCATTCCCCCTATGGTGTCAAAGGAAAGGAGCTGATATCATGCACTGGTCATGTGCTTATCGATTAGATAAGGCCGAGATCGGCGGTACAGATCAGGGGACGATCTCAGTGAAAATAGTATGAACGACGTGGATAGAGGAGAGTATAGTATAGGAGATAAATGTATCCTCCGGGGAGTTTTCGTCAAGTCTCTTCCCCGGATTTATGAGGCAGCCTTGGGCTCAAATTGACTTATCAGCATGATAAGTCTACAATGTAGTACGGCGAAGCTTATCTGCAGCCTATACCAGGCCCTGGCGCCTTGAGGCAGATGCGCCATTCTAGGCATCCAATCCTATGACTCATATGTACACGCTTGTCCTCTTTTGTACTATACAATGCAGAGAGATAGAGAAGAAAAACCTCCGAGCACAAAAAAAAGCAAACAAATTGGATCTATACACATCAACGGTGGCGTATCAAACGCCAAGACCCCGCACTAACAGCCACAGTACCACGGGGACCACGACGTTATCATTACAACCAGTGAGGATCGCCTCGGTGGCGCTAGTCCCAGCGGCCGCCAAAACCGCCTTGCACAGAGTCCAGAGCCAGAATTGAATGGAACAAGCCCCCTGTGCCTCGGCGCCGTCGACCCCAGACACGGGCCAGCCCCCAAATACCAGCCAGGCACGAACTGCGATTAGCCCGCAGGTTACCGCTGCCGCAAAAGCAACACTGCCTTCGAGCGACTTGCCCCCGCCCCAGAACCATTTCAGTCGACCGAATCGCCGGCCGATGAGGGATGCCGCTGCGTCGCCCATTCCTACACAGATCACCCCGCTGGCCATGCTGACGTCTCGTGATGGGATTTCCCAGCCAGCCCATGGTCCTAGACCAGTCCGCGGAAGGTCGGAGATGGAGAGCCAGAGCGGGATGGAACATCCGATCAGCAAGAAGATGTGGGAGATGATAACCGGTCCACGGTGATCCCGGCCGTCAACGTAGGGCGCTAGGAAATAGGTGAGTGGTCGGGAGATTGGGGGTAGCTGGGATGCGCGGAATAGGTCCAATAGAAGGAAGACAGAGAGAGCCAGGGCCAACGCCAGGGCGCAGAAGGCGGGGTCAACAAAGATAGCAGGCAAGAACATCAGTACCATCATGCCGTGGAAAATCTTGCGACGCGTGTCAACTTCGGCAATGGAACTGAGCTGAATGACCACAGCCAAACCCGTCAGCAGCACGACCACGCAATAGCCACTGAGCAGGAGACGCGTGCTGGCTGCGCCGAATGTAGTCTGGCGGATATGCTCGATCGATCCGAGGAAGCAAGATGCACTGAGAACGTCTTCATCTGGCCGAGGTGGCAGTTCAATCCAGTATTCAAGGTTCAACATCAGGATCCAAAAGCGAACGTTGGAGAAATTGCCGAACATGTAGCCTATCGCCCAACCAAAAGGATCTTGGCCTTGCAGAGCGCGCTCTGCCACATATTTCCGGATAGGGCCAATAATGATCAGCAGGGACGCAATGTAAACGAAAAAGGCATACAGCCATTTGCGGACCTGCGCCTGGGCAGTAGTAAGCGAGAGGAACGCGGTAAGACCAGGAGCCATCTGCTTCTTGCGTCGGCCACCAGCAGTAGTGCGAACCCGCTCCTCTCGAACAGCCTCATCAAAAGTAGAGATGGTATGACGTCGGCGTTGCACGTTGCGAGAATATTGCTCGAACATTTCCTCCGTTGGGGACTTGTCAATAGCAGATGCAGGCTCTACCGACGGGCCTCGTTGATGCATAGTCCTCGCCTTGCGTGGTTTCGCAAATGAATGCCCATTCGGGCAATCGCTATCCGATGAAGCATCGTCCGAGACACCCGTTCGGCTCAATTTCTCACAAAGTCGATGGTCGATCATGTTCAAAAACTTGCGCGCAGAGTGCGAGCTATTAGGCGGACGGCGAAACTTCCAACTAGGAATGCGGGCCAGAGCAACCTCCCAACGCAGTATGTGTCGACATGAAGCGAATAAACACATGCCACCAAGCCATAATAGGGCCTTTAGGATCTCCGCCTGGGGAGACGCCGCGAACAAGTACAAATTGATCAAAGCAGTCGTCAAAAGCTGCAGTTCGGCAGGGAGAACGCTGGTCGTCAACAAAAAGTCTAAAGTGGGTATCAACGCTTGATGCAAAGGGAAAAGAAGAATTAGGGTCTCCGCATCGAACCCGCGAAGCGACAGTGGTTTGGGAATTGTAGAGTCCAGGGAGAGGTGTTCGGAGACGACAATCGGAATCAGTGTCACCATCCAATGTGCGATGCTGAGTCCATGCGTCCAGTTTTGTAACGGGATAACAGGTGCAGGCAGAGAGGACAGGCTGAGGACGATATTAGGCATAATAAGCGGCGGACGATGGTTGGACAGAGATAGTGAAACAAAAACCGGAATAAAGATGGGATAGAGGAGAGGAGCTGGGTCGAAGCTCGAAGGGAGGGAGAAGAACGAGCGTTTCGTAGACAAGATGCGCCAGATGCGCCAGCTCCGGCCCTGGGATGCACGAACAAGAAGTGGATAGGCGGCATAAAGACTCATCACCACGAGACCATGGGTAATAATCTCTGCAAATCAATCAGCATTTTCCTCTCGATATGATCGTAACATTTGCGCGTACCTTTTCTCCATGTCCACGCCAAAGACCGCGCCCCGGCCTGGTACAGTACAACAACGCCAACGGACATCAAAAGTGCAGCCTCCAGCAACCGACGCAGCACTTCAACCCGTCTCGTCCGCCTAAACTTCATTTTTGCCTCGAAGGCCTCTTCCTCCATCTCCTCATCCGAGCTCCGCCGTGACGCCCGTAAAGCGGGCCGCGCGAACGACGGCCATGGCCGCAAGCTTGGTAGCCAGGGATCCCCCTCTCCAGACCTCAGACCCTTGTGAGGACGCAGCGGTGGGGCCGGTAGACCCCTCAGTATCCCGGTGCTCTCATCGTCTGCCTCTGTGCCGCTGTCGCTGGGCGTCCGCGAGGACCTTGAGTAGGAGAGCGGGCGAAGGTGGTCCCCGTATTCGGAGGGAGTGCGCGAGCCGATGCGTTGGCTTCTGTGATATGGATGAGGTGACCGATTAAACTGTCGCAGGTTCTCGGCCGCTTCGGGGCTGAGGGGTGTACTGCTGCGAGGTGTCGCTTGTTCTTCCTGGAGCGAACTCATGGCGCCATTCTTATGTTGAGGGATACGTCATGTCGCGAGAGAGAGTACAGGGGAATAGGAGAGTGTGTCCGAGTCCAATGAGGGAAATTCGTAAATGTTGGGAACGTGGCAGGCTGTTGTTATCTCTGAACGCGGAGAGGATTTTGCCTATCACATGAAAGCGGACTGTGCGCCGGATTACATCGTTCTTTGTTGACATGGTCTTTTCTGCTCAATGCTAGCTACTTTCAAGCTGTTATTGCTCATTTGTCTAATGTAATTGTTGCAAGACCACGCCTGCGCCCAATCTTCGCCCTCCTCGTCCCCAAACCGATCTGCATGGGACAACCTGTCCTGGCCAAGCTTCGGGCAACGAATAGGTTGTGTACAACACGGCCTGACACAGGCTAGGGTTTTGGCAGTGGGTCTTTATGACCGGATCCAAGCGTTTCTCACATGCATCATCAGACAATCCAACCTCGACCTCGATAGTAATATAGGTGTATTGGCCGTCCATGGTGGTGGTGTAAGCCGGCCCTTCCGCAATACCCAACTTGACCTGCTCACATCGACCACCCAGTCCTTGCCATTCAATGTCACTTCCTCGTGGGAGTTCCTCGACCTGAACAGCCAAGAAGGGTGGGATGGATGTGGCAGACTCGGAATTGAGAACAGTGAACTTGGGCAAAGCCAGTGCGGTAGCATCAGAAGTCACTTCCTCCGTGCGACGTCCATATTTCATGTCCCATGCATCCAGCTGGGGTCCCTCGTCGTCATCCTCGTCTTCGTTGTTAGGTAAAGCATGCATCTTTTCCCAGAGGCGCCATGCCACTTGAGCTTGAGCATCGGCCTGTTTTCCTCGAGCCAAAAATGCTACCGCGCCAAGCCACCAGTCCACCTGCATGGCTTCACCGATCCTCCAGAGGTGCTGCAGAGCTAGCACAGCTCGTAGACGGTAGTTTTCAAATGGTGACTGTTCCTGCTGCGCCAGCTCCATAGAAGCAGGGTCCAGAGGAATCTGGCCAGCAATATGTACCAGTCTGCTGTTGTTCTGCAGTGAAACAGACATGGCTTGTGAATATGGTCCAATGTTTGCCGGTGCCCAGTATGATCGTGATTGAACGTGCAGACCCTGGCGCAGGTCTCTCGCACCCAAGTCAACCATAAATGAGACCATCACCTTGACATTGGATGGCATTCGATCTCCGCAGGCGACTGTGACTCGTGCAGGAGGGTTAGGCTTCTTGAAGAGCGACACGTAGACATCATTCATGGAACCGAAGTCGGCCATTGAGTCGAGCAGCACCGTAGCAAAGACAATGTCATCTGTTGATCGTAGGCCGGACTCGGCGTGAGAGAAAGTCTTCAACGCTTGCTCAACCTTGTCCGCAATACCCTTCATCTGCTCTCCTGCCCCAGGACCAGCCTCAGGTGCAACGATATTCGAAATAGTCCACGACGAACCAGACTGCCGGTGCACAGGTTCACAAACAGTCCACTCAGGAGACGAAGCACTCGTCCCAACCATCAAATCACCCACAGAAGCCTCATTCTCACCAACCTCCCTCTCCCTCTCCAAAGCAGCAACAAAGCCCTCATCTAACAACCCAGGCCTCCTAACATCCTCAGGCCTCACCCCATCCCCTTCCTTCCCCAAACACCTGGCTCCAATAATCCTAACAAAAGCAACGCCCCCCTCCCCAACCCTAACCTCAACCCCCTCAACCCCAATTCTCCCCTTCCACAAGAAACCAGGCCCATCCAGCGCAAGAGTCTCATACTCCCCACCCTCACCCAGAACAGCACCTCTCACATCCTCACCCGCAGCAAACCTCCCCATAGCCTTCGCAACCCTCCTCCTCAACATCCTCCCAGCATTCCCAGGTCCCGAAACATCCTCCCAAAGAAACCCCTCATCCAATCCCCCCGACGCAACTTTGATAATCCGCGCATCACATCCGACAGCTGCCATATCCTCCAATAACCCAGCCTGTGCCACAGCCAGCGAATCGGCAAGTCGCGCCCCTGGCGCCGGTAGCGAGGGATACATCCATAGCCAGGCTAGGGGGGTGAGACCTAGTCGGCCGGCGATATTCTCGATGCGGGTGCGCTGGTATGTTGATAGGATTGCGCCTGCTGAGACGGCGTTTGCTTCTGGGTGGGCTTGTTGGATGCGTGTTAGGAGTGGGACGAGGGATTCGGTTTCGTCGGTTTCGTCGGGGTCGTTTGTGTTGGTGGTGGTGTTTTTGTAGATACGGGATGTGTCGACTGCGTTGCCTTTTATGGCTTGTCTGTATAAAGGGATGCCGAGAGCTTCTTCGTATAGTGGGATTATGCTGTGACCAATTGTTTGGTACATGAAGCTGTCGATGTCTTCGTCTTCTTCGTCATTTTGGCTGGAGGGGGACGGTTCTGGGTAGAGGTTTGCTAGGGCTACTACTTTGTGGCCGTTTCGGATGCAGTGGAGGATTGAGTAGAGGGAGTCTTTTCCGCCTGATATTAGGGCGATCACGTTTAGCCCTGTGGCTTGAGGCATTGTGTTTGGTTTGGTGTGTTGGAGTAAGAGTTCAGATGGGGGGTAATTTTTGCTGGGTCGAGTTATCGATAGGCGATAAGTGGACAGGACAGCTTTGCTCTTGACGTCTGCATACTCGAGTCTATTGTTTACTATGAGTATGATGTCAAGGTAATTGTCTTTATACTAAATTTATTTGAAGCTATTTACTAGGTTTACTTTACTGTTACACCTTTACTGAGAAAGAATTGTAAGATTATGTTGTAATTGATGCATGTAAATCAATATCTCGAGATGTGAACTGGTACCAACACGAATGGGGTATGTAGCAATGATAGAAAAGGGGGAGTGGTCAAATTAACTTATACACGAATGTGACCAGCACAATGAAGCAGAGGGGGACAAAACAAAAAATAAAGCAGCAAAAAATATTACATCGAATAAGGCAAAACAACATGAACGAAACGGTAAAAGAAGCGAAAAAAAAGAGTAAAACGAAGGATAAAAGAAAGTCACAAGAAGAGAAGAAAACAGGGTGTACACGAAGAGAAAAGCCCAAAGGGGGAAATCAAAGGTGAGGTACATTGCTCACGCCGAGTGTGGTCCAGAAGAGGTTTGGTAGAGACAAAGGAAAAAAAAAAAAAAACAGAGAGGAAAAAACAAGAAGACACAAAGACAAAGGAAAATTCAACACCATCCCCCAGCATCTATGCCAAGTGAAAACAGATGCCAACATTCAAGTGTTCCCTTTTTTTTGTTGCTTTTTGTTGCTCTCTCCATGGACCAAAACACTGCGCCCATGTAACTCACACCCAGAAATCCGCTTTGGGCAAAATCACAACCTGTATGATCCCCATCGAAAAGGTGGTATGTCAATCGCTGAAAAGATGGGAACCCGTTGCCCCGTACACCAAACCCAGGTGTACATGCCCAGACGCCAAACCCAAGACCAAAGTCGAGCTTCCAGCCAGAAGACGACAGAATGTATAATTGTATGCAGTAGGAAGCTCCTGGTCTCGTAACAGAAAAGAAAATCAGACACTTAGGCCAGGTCGCGCTTGCGCTTCTTGGCCGCCCGGCGGTCTGAGGATGAACCACCGGCGTCGGTGGCCTGGGCATCGTACATGACATCGCCTAGAGCCCCGGCGTCGTGTTGATCATCGTAGGAGATGGAGCCGGTATCACTGGTGTCCAGGACTCCCATGACGAGCGAGCCAGCGCCGTGGGTGCGGGCGTGCTGGGCGAGGTTGTCGCTGCGGGAGAACTTCTTGCCGCACTCGTTGCACTCGAAGGGCTTGTCCTGGGTGTGCAGGGAGCGGTAGTGACGCTTGAGGTGCTCCTGGCGACGGAAGCGACGAGAGCAGAGAGTGCAGACGAAGGTCTTCGATGGGTCGTCGGTCAAGGACTGCTTGCGGCCGCGGCGGTTCACTGAGACGGGGGCGGACTCGGAGCAGTCGGCGTCAACAGAACCATCGTCGGAGCAGCAGTCAGAGTGGCTGCTCTCGGAAAGCTTCCGGGCTTGGGCCTCCTCTTGGGAGGCCTTGCGGGACTTGCGGACGCTGCGCTTCTTGGTCTTGGGCTCTTCGAAAGCGTCTTCTTCGCTATCGACTTGGGGTTGGGCAGCCTGGTTCCACTCGAAGGAGGGGAGACCGTTGGGAATGAAGGTCTCGGAGTCGTCCGAGTCCTCGAGGCTGTGCTCGCTGAGGAATCCGTCATCTTCGACGGAGTAGGCGGTACGCTGGCGCTTGTCACCGAGGTAGACGGCGTTGGCAGCTGGGTGGAACTCCACCAGACGGTTCAGCTCGTCGTCCGAGTCGAGGTCTGAGAAGCTGTCGAAGGTGGGCAGTGAGCTCAGAGGGTCTTGGGTCGAAGCACTGAAAGAGGGAGATGGGTTCTCATTGACAGGGAGCGTCACGGACGCACTGCCAACAACGGCACGGGGCTGCTCCTCCTCGCACGACAGGGTCGGCAGCGGAGGGAGGTCCTGAGCGGGCACATTGACGGAGGGCTCAACAGTCAGCTGGCGGGGATCGCAGAAAGAAGCCGAAAGGCTCTGGGGAGCGAGCAGGTCGTTTGGGACGGGAGAGGGGGAGGGGGAAAGCGAGGGGCAAGAAGTGGCAGACAACAAGTCCGAGGTCTGAGTGATAGAGGGGGGGTGAATGAAGACTACATCATGATTAGCCTTTCTCCCTTGCATGATATCCACAATTCTGCAGTATCATAGACTGTGATCTATATAAAACTCACCAGGCGTCATCGGTGGGGAGTCGGTACGGGCCCAGTCAGGGTTGGCCAGGATTTCCTGGTGAACATCGGTCTCGCAGCCCTCCTTGACACCTTCAACCTTGTCGAAGGTGAAGAAAGTGTCATGGATCGGGGTTGGTAGCGCGCCATGGGCAGATGGCGGGCTGCTGATGGAGCTTCCCGAGGACGACAGTGGAGGAGTCGAGGGGAAAGCGTACAGGTCGTGACCAATAAACCGAGTGTCGATGGGCATCAAAGCGGGAGATCCCTGCACCATGATTGAAGGCTTCATTTGCGAGGGTTGAGGCGAAGCAATGGGCGTCAAGCTCATGTTCGCTCCACGGAACGCATTTGTAGTTGCCATCTGGTGCATGTTCATCATAGGCTGGGGCGAGTAAAGCGGTTGCTCCTGGCCATACTGCATCTGTCCATAGTACATCTCTGACTGGTAGTGGCCCTGTCTCTGTTGTGTTGAGTCGGGGTAGTATGCAAACGAAGGCTGTCCTTGCACCGAAGTAGGTGCCATGTTGTATGTTGAGTCCATTGTGTACTGTTCAAGTTAGTCAATTGCCATATAGTATAGCCAGATTAATGCTGTCGATGTACATACCTGGTGAAACGTGGTAACCAAACCAAAGGCTCACGTCGATATTAATATGATTATAGAGTTGATAGTGTGTGATGTGTCGAGTAGTGTTTGGTCGAATGAATGAAACCAAAGCTATTAGGTGTATAGAGGAATGAGTGTGTGTCAAAGGAAAGACAGGTTGCTGGGAACCGGGGGACAATAGTTAAAGGAAGGGAAGAGTCGAGATCCAAATAAATCCACAAAGGAACCCCAAACCCAAAAAGTACACAAAAAAAAAAATAAGGACTTGATAGAGAGAGAAGACAGAAAAATAGGCGGGGAAATAAAAAAAAAAGAGAGATGAGAGAGATAGCAGGTCAAGGTGGATAAATGAGTGATCTGCTATTCTACATGCCGGGTCACTAGTGTGGGCCAGGAACCGTGTACTCTGTCTCAAATGATGAAATAAATATATTTATATTTATATATTTATATATTTGTATATATAAAATAATCCAATAATCCAGTTTGGGGCGGGAGGCCAATCGCATACACGTCGTGGGGCAAACATTAAAATTAATTAAATCATTTTACGCCTCTTGACTCGGTCACTGCCCCAAAAAGAGTAAGCTATCTCCACATGCTTTTCCCAATTACTGTCCAATTACATACTGTAGGTAGGTGTTCTGTAGGTAGGTGTTCTGAGATAATAAGTTACCTAGGTACTAGGTATTAACTTATATAATACATGTCTATGTCTATACCGACAGTCCTCGCCTGAAACCAGAAGTGGCCACGAGGTGCACGTTCATTGGCCGTGCGATGACAGCGGCAATCCTACTCTTATCAGGGCGAAGTCGGAACGGAGATCCTTCTCATATTCCAGTACTGTAATTTTCAAAGACCAGGCCCCACGCTCCGTCCCGTCTCTCTATGGTGTGAGATCGACAATGATACTCTCTTCGGGTCTTTTCTCAGACGGCACAAGTGATCATCAAGTGGAAACTTTTACCCAGCCTATCACTTCCCCCTTTGGGAGAGGCCATAGCTCACTGTGCAGCACGCAACCCCAAGTCGCTGAGGACTTGCCTCGCCGATCAGAAGGCTATCAACGGTGGCGACCACTGTGCAACCTCTTAATCGTGAAACGGCCGGTATTGGCTACACTTTTTACTTTTACGCTAATTCCAATTTCATATGATCCTAGCTCTCCTCAGCCGCGGTGATCACCGAGGGACATTCTATAGTAACATCTCGACTTCAGCTTCATCTTTTTTACAGTGTATAACAATAATTGAGGCCATTATTTGCATAGGTTGGCCACATGGGTCCTAAACAATCTCGTGTGTTTCTTTCCGACCGCTGCAAGGGTGCGCGCACTGTATGTGTACCATGTACACGACGCCGAAAACAAAATCTAACACGTCAATGAGCATCAAACTTCAATATCCAGTGTACAGAGGCAACTGCACAATGCAAGCCCCGAGACGATATTCATCCAATTGCGCGGCCTACTGCAGGAACCAGCTGCGGGGGCACAGCCGCGGGAACCACACAGGCTACTGCAAACGCTTATTGGATACACAAGGGAAGGCAATACTCAATTGATTCGAGTGTCGAATAAGCGCTTCGTGAAAGTTTCCGGGTGATTGGTTCCGGTTGCCCTAAGATGCATGATTGGGGGGGGGTTGGTTGTTATATGTCTCGGCACAAGTTATGAGAACACATGCTCAGATGAAATTACCCTACCACTGGGCTTATGTTGGCCCAAATTTAGACGCTTGCAGTTGGTCTCACCAACATCACTCATTGGGCCAGAATGTCAGCCATGGTCGCGAAGTGATGTGTTCCGATTGCATGGTGATGTGATAGCACGACTCGTCTCACTTGGTGACCTGTAGATCCGGGGGACAGAGTCCAGTATTGGGGGCATGGCATATGTACTGTGGTCTGTGATTGATCTCAACTTTCAGACAGGCGCATAATCCGACACATCGTGTATGCATGGTCAAGCAAGGTGGTAAGTTGACGGTTGTGGCACAAACTCTACCAATCCTAGACTTTGAAATGAACTATTATTTCATAATATGTCCTTCTACGGCATTTTATCATGTCGGAAGCCCGCGACACTGTGTCATTGGTCTCTAAAGATAGCGCGTCCACCCAAGTGGCCCGCTATTCCTTCACGAGCCAAGTGTCGACGCGCGGC